ACACTAAATCTTTATAGATTTATAGTTACGTTAGTTTGTCATTAGTTAAAGGAAGTTATGGTAAGCTAAACTGAATTCCAGGGTATGTTAATTAAAAAAAAAGAAAAAAGCTGAATGTTTTTGCTTTTTATATGTATGGGTTTTTTGTTTATTTGTTTTGTTTGGGGGGAGGTTGTACAGGGAAGATTACTTTATAGGACAACACAAAGTAATACAATAATAAAACTCCTAACTTTTATTTTAGTGTCCTAGAGGTTCCTATTTGATTTTTATTTCTGTTTAGTTTTTTTGAACAGGATTTTGAGTTCATTGCTAAATGATGGCATTTGTCATCTCAATTCATAAAGAAAATAAAAATGGAACTTAAAAGGCAGAACTGCATCTTTTATAAATGCTATGTGATGGGGATTGGCATTGCATGCACCAATTTATCTGAATTTGAGAGGTGTGATTAAGATTATATTAGGTAGAAGAAGTCCATAAATTTCTGATTCCAAATGAAATTCAAATAGAGAAGGAACCTGTTTCTCTGATGTGTTAATCCAACTCTTTCAAAGGCAGGTAAAGTTATCAAAAAGGTAGTATCAAAAATACAGAAGACTTTTGTCTAGAATGAGTTGACCTCTGTAAGAATTTGAAACAGAATCATGAAATCACTTAGGTTGGAAAAGATCTTGAGATCATCAAGTCCAACCTACGACCCAACACCACCATGTCAACTAGACCATGGAACTAAGTGCCACATCCAGTCTTAAGACTGTGCCCCCTTGTCCTATTGCTGGTTGCCTGGGAGAAGAACCTGACCCCCACCTGGCTACAGCCTCATTTCAGGTAGTTGTAGAGAGTGATAAGGTCTCCCCTGAGCCTCCTCTTCTCCAGCCTGAACAACCCCAGCTCCCTCAGCCTCTCCTCATAGGACTCCAGTCCCTTCACCACCTTGTTGCCCTTTTTTGGACTCAATCCAGCACCTCAACATCCTTCCTAAACTGAGGGGCCCAGAACTGGACACAGTACTCCAGGTGTGGCCTCACCAGTGCTGAGTACAGGGGCAGAATCACTTCCCTGGTCCTACTGGCCACACTGTTCCTGATACAGGCTAGGATGCCATTGGCTTTCTTGGCCACCTGGGCACACTGCTGGTTTATGTTCAGCCTGCTGTCAGTCACAACCCCCAAGTCCCTTTCTGCCTGGCTACTCTCCAGCCACTCTGTCCCCAGCCTGGAGCACTGCAGGGGGTTGTTGTGGCCAAAACAAAATGAAGTTTGTACTGCCATGGCTAAATTGGATTGGTAGGGAGGTGTGTGTTTAATAAATTATTTCTTTACATCTTGAACATTGTTGTTTCTTATTCTGAGACATTTGAAAATCGTGAAAGTGATGCCACTAAAGTCTTTCATGCATAATGGAAGAATAGGACTGAGACGTCCAGATTGTCTGTTGTGATTACAGCATGTACGTTGCAAGTGAAATCTCTGACCTTGTTTCTAAAATGATGACAGACTTCTGTCATATTTGGGTCAACTGACATGGTTTGGCCACCTCTAGAGAGAGAAAGAAAACTAGAACCTGTACCTGCAGAACTTGTAAAAAATTATGAAGCCTCTGTATGTCACACAGTAGGGCTGGTGACACTGGTCCATATAAAAACTGTTGCTAGCTGAAAAGCTATAGTTAAAACCAGTTAAAATTGACAGAATTTAATTATTTAGTTAGAGGTATATTTTCTGCATTTTCTACTAAGTTGCATTCCTGTATGTTTCTGTTACAGGGTTCAGAGTGTCTCGACTGTGACCAAGGGAAAATGCCTGCTAGAGCAGTTTCGATAGAGTGGACTGAATTGCCCAAAGGGGAGGATCCAGACTACTATATTTTGACGTGCCAGCAAACAGATGCTTTCAGTCAAAAAGTAAATTTCATCAGTCTAAGCACTGAGTAGTTCCATATGTTTTTAAGCTGTAAATAACAGTAACTAGTAGCATTGTGTTTGATTGCTTTTTTTTTTTTCCAATTCAAAATAGCAAATCAAGAGAAAGTTTTAAAAAAATTTACGGAATTTTGTAATTCATGTTGTTTATGTGCACTCTTACAGAGTCCTCCTTAAGCCAGTGGAACTTAAAAGACTTTCAAGTATTCAGTTGAATAAGGATAGATAGGCATATGTTCAAAATTAAGGATATGCAAGATCTTCAAGGAGAAAAACCCTTTGAATGAGGAGTCTAACTTCTCCAGGAGAGGCACAGACACTACTCCTACCTCTCTGTGGGAGGGTGTTGTTCTTGTTTTGAGTACAGGATGTTCTGGAACATAAAGAAAATAAGAAGATTTCAATATGAAGGTTTTTGTTAATAGTGTGATTTCTAAAAGGTTTTGTTTTAAATATTGGGTATTTTGCAGTTTAAATGAAGCTGTAATGTAAGTTTGATATGCTGCAATATCAGCTGCCCTTTTAAAAACTTTATAGATAATTTATGAATTGCATTTTTATTACTTTCACTATATTCAGAAATTCTTTTAACTTGCAGATTGTACGAAACATTTCTAAAGTTGAACAGGAACCTGTTAGTACTACAGTTCTGCTTGAGGAAAATAAGAAGTATGATATAACAATAGAATCTCTAAAGAATGGCCAAATCTTAAGTGTAAAATCATTTAAGACACGTAAGTAGAGTAGCACAAAAGTATATTGGTATCTTTATAGTTAATCTAACATTGAAGATTAGAGGAGCAGGGTTTTAAATCTAGAGGTTAGTCATGTATTTAGAAACTTTGAATTGATGTATATTTTCAACCATGAGGGGTAGTAGGAATAATTTTATATAACATATTTGTTTAGTGTAACAATTCTGAAATATGAGACTGATGTAAAAGTTAATGAAACTTTTAAATACCATAGCTTTTGCTATGCTACAGAAATTCTAGGAGAAAAGATTTATAAAAGAAAATCATGGAGAAAGTTACTTAAAGCCTGGCAATTTCATATCAACATGGGGTTGTGATTTTTTTTCTTTTATAACTTAAAAAATATTTTTGTTTTTGCTTCATGACATTCCCACTTTAAAAAGGGTTAATTAGTAGCTTGAAGGCCTTAGCATTGTGACTCACTGGAACAGACTTTTAGTATAAGAATTTGTGAGTCTGGTCACTGAGCTTATAAAAATATCCTCTACAGCTGTAAATCTGTTTAGGACCATAAGTTCCACCAATTGCTAAAATGAAAGGGCTTTCTAATCTTAATTTCATTAATTAAAATAGTTTATAGCATTACCTTTGTACACATTACAAGCTCACACTAGGTTTGGAATACAGACTAGGATATGGATACAAACAACATAATTGGGAAAAATACACAGTTGAAAACATTGCAGCAGCTGTTGAATGCTGAAAGTACATTCAGCAAGCTACAGAAAATGGTTCATGGTTATACTACTAATGTGTTACTGCACTGGACATCTATTACTTAACTGCTATTCTGTAAAAGTATGTACTTTTACAGCTAAACACTCCTTAAACCGTGCACTTTTATTTCTTTTTGCTTCAGACATAAGTTTACATACCGTGACAATGATTAAACCATGACTTTTTTAATGACACTACCTTTCTTTCCCTGGTGTGTGTATCGCTTATCACTTCTCAAAAGAAAAACATAATAATGTTAATGGAACTCTGAGTTAATTATTCCTTTGTGGTAAAGACAGTGGTTTTTTTTCTTGTTATACTAGGTGGAATTTCAGAAAATTGCATAAAAACATTTGTAACAGCTACTACAGTTTCTTTTAACTGGAGTATGGTGACCAAAGAATTTTCAGTTTCTGTTTTACTGAATGGTACTTCTGAGATTATAAAAAGACCCAGTGGATTCTTTGTATGGAGAAATTTGACACCTGCCACCTTATATACATTCAAGTTTATATTTGAACAATTACATCTTGAATTTGTAAACGTGTCTCAGTCACTGGATGTTCAAGCCGAAACAGGTATATATTAGAGTTTCTTGTAGTCACAATGAATGCAGGTTAGTACTGCACATTTTCTAGATAAGTTAAGAGTAAACTGTAAAATCCTGTGTTCCATTTTACAGTTTATAGTAGTTATGGATTGTTTTAGTTCTGGAAAGTGGAAAGAAATTGAATGTTACTGACATAGAAAAGTTATTTCTACTTACTATTTCTTAGTATTTTTAGTAGGAATAATTTGGATTTTTATGTGCATATATTTTAAGCTGACTGTATTTTTGCAGTCTAAAATAGAGTCAAGGCAATGTTGAAGTTGAGTTGTAATCATTTGAGTGTATGTATTGAATTTGCTACATAATTTCAAGGAAAAAGCAATGAAAACCCTGAATTTGTTAAGCATTTGGAACACTTTTTACAGCATTCAAAATACTGCTGAATGGCTAGCCTAGCTGTGCTGTTTTGTTAGAAGTGCTGTAAAAGAGGCAGGATTCTGAGGATGTTACGGCTTAGTTGTGTAATTTTAGTGTAATTTTAAACATGCTACTCTGATAATGCAACTTAAAATCTTTAAAATTAGAAAAAGAAAGAATAATATGCACTCGAAGTCAAGGGAATAATTATTTTCCTAAACTCAGGAAGCTATTAAAAGCAGGTTATTTGTTAACTTCATTTTTAATGTTTAAAAAAATGAACCATTGGAAACTAAGTTTAAAGAATGATATTTTTTCTGGAGTAGGATTGAAAATTAGTGAATATCTTTCTTTTTTTTCCCCCTTCACTGGCTTGTAGTTGATATTCTTCTAATTCAGTCAATCAGATTTTGAAGACATTCAAGACTTTGAAGGACTGTTGACTCATAATTACTGAATATTTGGGGGGGTGAAATCATGAATTAATTAAATGCTATTGTCATCAAAATGTGTAATTATAAGATATCTTGCACTGTACCACTGACATGAATGATACAGCATCTCTTCAAAATCCTGTCCTTCACCTATAGGCACCTGTTCCCAAGGGTGGGTGGCATTCCAAAGCAGCTGCTATCGAATGGGTAAGGAGAGCAAGCCATGGAAATCAGCACAACAAACCTGTCAAACGTCTTCACAAGGGGCACATCTTCTTGACATAGGGAGTGAAGAAGAATATGGTTTTATGTTGTCATATCTCCAGAAAATTAGTCGAATAATCATGATATGGACAGGTCTTAATGACTTAAAGGTCAGTCTATTTTATCTTCTTTGCTATTACACATGTGGAAGCAAAAAAATTTTGATATATAGAGCCCGATTGCTTGGAATAAAAGTTGCTAAACAGTACATTGGTTATTTGTTTATATAGTTATTAGTAATGAGAAGAGGAATCATTATTTCTTCCTGTTTAGAAATACTGAAAATAGCTGTGGAAAAAAACATGTAGTTTATACATAACCTGTATTATTATTTAACTTTCCTCTATTTTGTGTATGTGTGTGTGTGTATTTCCCTGGGATATTGTTTTGCCTGTAGATGGTGCTGTGTTACCAGATTTTAAATCTTAATCTACATAGACGTTGCTTACTGTGGTTACCAAAGTCCGGTATTGGTTTACTCAGTTTTGATGCAGGTCTGAAATGTTGAGTGTTGAGCTTAGGGATGTCAATCCAGTATAGATAGGCCAGTGGAGAAGGAACTGGAGCAAGGTATTTCTTGTAAAAGGTTTCCTGTTCCTCATATTTGAGATATGAAGGTTCTTAATGCTGCATCTGCTGTTACAATATGATTCACTGTGGTGTGGTGTCTGATGGTGGTCTGATTTGGGGACGACTACAGACATAAATAAAAATATTGGGAAAGTGTTTAGAAAGATGGAGGCATTTGCCAGAACAGTGGGATCCAGTCTTCTGTAATTTGGTTTAGTGAAAACTTCTTTTAAGTATCAGGAGGTTGGGAGAAAGGCACTGTTTTTCAGTTTAAAAAATCTGCACTTTGAAATTTAATTTTAATATTGTTTTGATCAAATTATTTTAAAAGAAATGCTGTGAAAACAGTAAAAACAAAGCAAACCTTATGTGTAAGAGCAAGAGTGGTGTCATACCACCTCAAAGACAGAAAAAATATTTTTTACTGGTTGGGACTACACAAACAAGTCAGAGTGGGATAACATACAGACTGAAGAAACACAAATCTGTCTAGGTTTGTGGTTAGTGAAGCACTCTAACCATCCTGGTTAATAAAGCACTATTAATATATGCATTTTACATGTAATATTATTTTGTATATGACACTGTAGAGTCGCTTCTCAAATGGCTGTAGTTTTTACACCATGGTGATATTCATCATAACCAACATGGTATTTTAGAAATATAGGTATTTGTAAGTGGCTGCCAGAAGTAGATGTCCCATGGAAGCATAATATTTTCATGTGTTGGAAAGAGTACTAGAAATCTGGGGGGTTTTAACTGTGATTGCACAGAAAAGAGTTAATTGCCAATTTGGAATTTGACTGTTAATCAACTGTTTAATCATTACATGCATTTTTATGTTTGTGGGAGTCAGTCAGTTAAATGAACTAGATGAGTACCATGTCTTAAGAATAGCAAGGGATAATAATAAAATGCTTGTTTTTCGAGCACTTCTTTCCTAATTATTTGTACTTAATTAGTGTGTTCAAGTACTGTTTCATTCTGAAGTGTCATTGTTGTCATTTGTTCTCATTTTATGAGAACTCTAAATTGTACTTACATCAAATTGTACTTACATCAAATTGTACTTACCTCAGGAGCTCAAAGATCATGGGACATACACCAGGAGTTGCAGGATTTGTTTAAAATCTGAATAAAAAAATACAGATTAAATTATTTTTCTTTCTCATTCATATTTGAAGCACTAGGGAGTTAAATTTCTGTTTTCAAGTGTTTTTCTCTCTGAGTACCCATGGGACTTGGACCCCCTGGTGGTCTAGTGGGTAGGATACAGCGCTCTCACCGCCGCGGCCCGGGGTTCGATTCCTGGTCAGGGGACTTCCCCAGCCAGATGGAACTTGTCAGCCCTGTAAGGCCATCCATCTAAGAGAAGGTCACTCTAAACAAACCTACGTTCTGAGGACCTCACTGCCACTGTCCAAGCTTGCTCGGCCCTCTAAACAAACCTACGTTCTGAGGACCTCACTGCCACTGTCCGAGCTTGCTCGGCCCCGGCAGATGAACCTCAGGATTAAAGGGTGGGCTCAGTTCAGCGCACGCTGGGTCTCACCTAAAAAATCCACTGCGCAGGCTCGAAGGGTTAATGACCTTTCCCAAATCTTTGCTCGCGAAGACTGGCCATGATGACCCATGGGACTTGAAATATTTAATGAGAAGAAGTTGAGACTATAACCTACTCAGAAGATTTCAGCAGCCTTCAGTGCCAAGCACTGTGACACTGATAAAAATTAGTGATGTTGTGAGCAACATTAGTTCTGTAGCATTTGTATTCTCACAGTGTCTTCTTCTTTAACCCTACTTTGATCTGTATCTGAATTAAAATCATTCCTGATGAGGCTGAACATTCTTGTGAAAAGTAACAGAGACTCTGGAGATGTAGGTCTGTGCCCTGGATAAGAATGAATGGAATGCTTTGGTGGTACCCTCATGTCCCTCCTGACATGTGCAGTTCTTCAGAGCTAGGAAGTGGTAAAGGTAGCCAAAAATTGTTCACTGAGGTTTCTCTTACAAACCTTGCTGCAGAGGTTTGCATCATAGTAGTATCTTGTGATTTCCTGTGCTTGTTGTTAACTCTGGTGACCAAGAAGACCAGTATAAAAAAATTTTGATCTATATAGAGTTTCTGAAATGGCAGAGTATACCCACAAGTCCTCCTGAAAGTCAAGTTGAATTATTTCATACCACTGAAAATCTTTTTTACTTTCCTGGGGAAATGAATGATATCACAATATTTCATTTGATTTTTTTTTTCAGTACAACAGATTAATTTAAAAAATAGTCACAGTCTCAACAAACATGAGTTTTTATTGTTTTCTCAGAGCAATGGAAAAAATCCTTTTTTCTTCTCCTCTTTCCACTTTTGAACATCTTTAATAAAAGAGTAAACAACAGAAGACTTAAAATGATGGTGGTACCTCAACTTTTCTCCATTACAGTACTTAAAGCATTTACTTAGGCTGTAGGACCACGGACTTGCTATGCCTGAAAGCACTTTATGCAAGTTTACCACCTGAGAGTGCCTCAATGCCATGCAGAAATGTGCTGGGTTTTCTATTAAGCCCTTGTAGATGTTAGTATATATTAGTGCAGTGCGGACTGAAACCTGTCTCCCACTAGAGGGATCTGTGTTGCAATGCTGTAAGCATATTCTACATCTTTCCTCCAAAATATCATGTTGCCCCAGCCTAGTACCTGTAGAGCTCTGCTAGAAAAACTGAAAGTACCTCAAAGGTAAGGAACTTGGAGGGAGGTGTGAGTGTGTCCTAAATGCTGAGTGATCAGTAAACAGGAGAAAGGAGAAAGATAACATTTTCTCATCCGGTTGTGAATCTAGCCATGTTTCTTTTTCAGCTAAATATTTTTGCTTTCAGACGGGATTTATGATTATTTTACGCTGTTTTTTTTTTTTTTTAAAGTGGATGACATTTTTAGACAATTATCCATACAAGATTATTAAATTATTTGATTAATAGTGATTTTTAAAGGCTTGTTTGTAATGATGAAACATACCCATGTGGCTTATATTATGTTATGTTATTAGCTTGTAATCTTTTGTAATAGAAGAGATAGAATTTTACACTGAAACATTTACTTCATTCCTATATAATTAATTTGTATAAATGAAGTACGTAAGTTTTGTATGTTTGGGAAATATGCTTGCAATGAGCAAAGCCTTAATAATTCATCATTACAATCTAAAAATACGTGTTTTTCTAAATTTTTTTTTGAATCCAGGAAGAAGGTCAGCTCTTATGGACAGATGGATCTCCCTATGTTCTAAAAGCTGGTATCTCATCTTTGTCAATGATACCAGAAAACCAAACTGACTGCTATGCCCTTCAGAGAGATCCTACTGGTCCAGATTATTTCTTCACAGGATTTTTCTGCTATGTACAGCTGCCATATATTTGTGAATATGAATGTAACTATATTTTTTCAATCTTTTACATTTATTTTTAAAAACCTTCCCCTGATTGCATTTGTATTTGAAGATACAAATATATATAAAAAAAGGTTTTAATGAATTTTTTTTTCACTTTTGCTTTTCTTTTTCAGTACCTTTGGTACCAGAGAACATCACATTTAGTGTGCATGATGTCAAGACAACTGAAGCTGTATTTATGTGGAGTGATATGGGCATGTGGCTTAAGTCAGGCTTTGCACTTATAATCAAGTACTATTTTGATCAGTGGAAACCATACATTCTGAACTTGCCTGTTAATACAACTCAAACAAAAATTGTGCACTTGTCTCCTGGCCTTCACTATAGTTTTTTATTAGCAGCAAGGAACTCAGAAGGAGCACAGTCTATCTTAAGTCCAATTCTGAAGGTAGAAACAAGTAAGTAACAAAAATAAATAGCAGTAATAACCAGATAATCATACACTTTTATATTTTTTTCCTTTAATTAAACAAGTTCGTGTGTTGATATTTTGTCTGAAAACATAAGTAAATCTGAACATGAATTCTGATCCAGTATTTACTAATTTGTAGAATGGATTCCAAAAACTTCATTTAGGTTTGTGCTAAAATCCTTTCTTGGGATTAATTGAGAAAAGCTCAGAGTTTTCAGTGGCTGCAAGAACAAAGCCATACAAATTTTGTTTCTGTGAAGTATATTTTAAAATCTCATTATTACAATAATTTTACTCACAGAGTTTCTACTGATGTCCAAAGGTAAAGCTGGATGTCAGAGTAGCAGTAAAGTATTTTTTGGCTATGCTGGTGAAATTCAGAAACATATTTTCAAATTGGAAGTAAAAGATTATGTCAGAACAAGCAGAGGTATCCCTGTTTATCTACAGTTAAGATTACGATGATCTCTATGGTTTAAAAATCCATTGTATTTTGACCTGCTGTGTGATGCAATAAGTCCTAAGTAAAATTCATTCACAATTAACTTGTATTCTGGTAAAGTCTAGCTGAATGAAGCCAAATGAAACCTACCAGTTGGTAGACATGAAAAATGCCTTTTCACCTAAAGGTGATCAAGTGGAGATGTCCTGTTTTGAAGTTACTGGAGAAGTTTTCTCATTTTCAGAAGTTAAAGAAAACGAACTGCCCTAATGTTTTTACCAATCCTGGCAAGGCAGTTCAAATGTAGATAGAAGTCTATTTTCTTAGAGTTAGAATAAAATACAGGTTAATCTTTTGGTGAAAGAAGCTATTCTTTTTCTCCATCATATATGTTTTGTACAGTTCACTTCCTCCTCTGGGCTTTAGTGCACTTGGAAGTTCTGTCATATCCTGTGCCTACCAAACTCTCTTCTCTATAATCCGATTGTTTGGTTTCTGTTTAAAAGACCTTGTAATGCAAGTTGCCTCTATAATGAAGAAAATATATTCCTGCTTTCTCCTATGCAAAGCAACTATAAGAGGTGGGCTTGTGGGCTTGTGTGAACATAGTGAAGCTCAACAAGGCCAAGGGCAAGGTTCTGCACCTGGGTTGGGGCAATCCCAAGCACAAATACAGGCTGGGCAGAGAATGGGTCAAGACTAGCCCTAGGCAGAAAGACTGGGGGGTCTTTGTGGATGAAAAGCTCAATATGACTTCGCAACGTGCACTTGCAGCCCTGAAAACCAACTGCATCCTGGACTGCATCAAAAAAAAGAATGGCCAGCATATCAAAAGAGGTGACTCTGCCTCTCAACTCTGCTCTTGTGAGAGACCCCACCTGGAGTACTGTGTCCAGGCCTGGGGCTCCCAGCACAGGAAAGATACTGACCTGTTGGAATGAGTCCAGAGGAGAGCCACTACATTAATCAGAGGGCTGGAGCACCCCTCCTGTGGAGACAGGCCCTAACTGAGAGAGTTGGGGCTGTCAGCCTGGGGAAGAGAAAGCTCCTTTTAGTACCTTCCAGTGCCTAAAGGGAGCCTACAAGAGAGCTGGAGAGGGACTTTTCGTGAGGGCATGTAGTGATAGGACAAGGGGGAATGGCCGTATGTTGAAGGAGAGTGGGTTTAGATTAGGTAATAGGAAGAAACAGTGGTGAGGCACTGGAACTGGTTGTCCAAAGAGGTTGACTCTCCATCATTGGACGTGTTCAAGGCCAGGCTGGTCTTGACGGAACTTTGAGTAATTTGGTCTAGTGGAAGGTGATCCTACCCATGTAAGGGGGGTAAGAACTAGATTATCTTTAAAGTCCCTCCCAACCCAAACCACTCTAAGATTCTGTGATTCCATGAACTTGGGTAATGCATACCATTTGTCTTAGATGATATTTCTGAACGGACTGAAATATAAGAGATGACCTAAATTCAGAGACTGAGTTCTACATGAAGATCTAGGTGATTCAGAAAAGACCTCAGTTAGAGAGTAGGAGTATTCTCTGTGTCAATATTCACTGTCACTGATACGCTGTGAAGGTTGCCTTGTTAGATTTACTCTAATACTCTTGAGCCTGTAAGCGTGTATTGTGAGGTTTTCAGGCTCTATTTAAAAGAAACAAAGAAACAAACAAGCAAAAAGTCCCCCAAAATATCCCACAGTTATTGGTGAAAGGCATGAGTAACTATTGTCTTGTTTCTATTCCTAATCTTATTCAATAGGGCCGTTGCACTCCCAGAAGTTAGAGGCTACATATGTTTCATCTGCAGAAATACATTTAAAATGGAATCCTCCACAGCATTCATCCAGTGCTTCTTTTCATTACTATCTTGTCAACGTGTTGGATACTGAAACCAACATCTGGGAACAGTTACCAGTTGAAAAAAGCAAGACTTCAATAGTCATACGAAATAGAAAACCTTATCATCACTATCAGGTATATTTACAGAATGTAGCAGAGAAAGGAACTCTCAGCTGCCATGAGAAGCCAATATTAGTCACAACAGGTGATGTATCCATTTTTTAAGATGATTTATTTTGCTAGACAGAGTTTAAATTGAAAATACGAGGCATAAAGGTATTTTTAAGGCCTTGTACAGATTGTGGTTGTTGGGATATTCTTCAGAACTTTCCAAAATTGTGAATATACCAATACCCTTATTTATTTATTCATTTACCTACTTACAGCATATTAGTATGAGATAAAGAAGTGACATTCTGCTTGAGAAATACTGATTTATAGTTTATGTCTTTAACTTGAGCAAAGTAGAAACATTAGAGTGATTTCTTAATTTTTTTTTAGGTGAAAACAGATTAATTTATTCTTCTAATAATAGATACAGTGACTCAGACTGTGTCATCTTTTTACTTTGTATATATCTGGTGGAATGGAATATGCTTGCAAAATAAGTCTCTATTTGTTATGAGAAAACAGAATCTGCCTGTAAATCATTTTAAGAAATAAGTAAATGAATCAGTAGTTCTAAAATCATGACATTTTAGAAGAAAAAAATAAACCAGAGACATCACTGGGAAGTGATTGTAAATTGATTGTAAGTTTGATATATGGTTTTACACTGATATCTTTTTCTTTAATCAAGCTGTCAGTCCACCGACAGCTGTTTATATTCACCCAGAGGATGTACAAGAAGAGAGTGTGATCCTTCGCTGGAAGCTGCCACGAGAGTGTCAGGAATCCTATGTTCAAGTAAAACCTAATGCAGACATGGGTGAAACTAAAAAGTTTATATTAAGCAATACAGAAGAATTTAAGATTGATCTCCTAATTCCTGGAACGACTTATGAAATAGCAGTCGCAAGTGTGAATAATGGAGCTATGAGTGAACTGAAGACCATTCAATGCACTTTAAGTAAGATATTGTTTATGGTGGAAACTACAGACTATAGCACACATTGGTCTAACTATTGTTGCTACGTCTAACAGATTTTGTAGACCAAATCAATTTGCTAAATACCCAAGGATCAAAACTAAAATATAAAATGTTCAGATCCAATCCTAGTTGTTAACAGAAAAGTTAACAATTTTCGCAAGGAGGGTACAGCCTTGGAAAATGCATTGGTAATAGTGACAACTGCAATGAGGACCATAGCTGGAAATCCTGTTACAACTGGCAGAAGAAACTGGGTGAATCATTGATTTGCATTGAAATAGGAAAATACGGGAATGGTTGAAGCAGCCTATTTATTTTTGGAGATACATTAGTTGTTCTGTGAACTGTGAGAAAGAAATTACCCTACCATTAGTGAGAGCGCAGTAGGAAAGGAGTAGAAAGAGTTAGAAGTAGTAGTAGGTGAAAAGTAAAAGCTTTACATTGTTTATCAAAGGGTCTTCCCCATCCATAGGGAAAGGTTTATTGAAGGGTCTTAGTTTACCAAAATGTTGAAATGCTCTTGGTGCAGTTTAAATTTTTTGCATATGTGAAAGGAATGGGCAAGATTCACTTGGTATTCAAGTGGTATTTAAAGGCTACAGCTGTCAGATTACAGATACATGAAATGCTGCACTGTAATTTTTTTTTCTAAATGATTACAGTATTTTGGAGGGTAGCAGTCTTAATCTTTTTTCAGAATTTTTTTTATAGGATTAGATTTAATACCTCATTCATGACACAGATGACAAAATTCTAGATGAGATATTTCACAGCTGTCAGAGCCAACTGTAAGGGAAGAAAACTAAACACGTCAATGCTATATCCATCAAACCTATCTCATTCTCCATGGTCATCTCCCTGTCCATATTCACATTTCTGTATATTTTTCCAGCTATCCTGCTTACTTCCTAGTGCAGTTCTGGCTGAGAAGATAATTCCAGTAATAAAAACTTAAAAGATCAGGTTGTTCTTTGTTTCTGAGAAGTGATGTTTTACTGTGATAGCTATTAGTTTTTGCACTGGGCAAGCATATTTCTCAGCAACTCAGGGTAGTTGCTTCAGATTCATTATGTGGTTTTCATTTAATTTATTTTCAACTGATTTAACATGTGGTAATTTCTTTTTTCTTTTTTTTCTTTTAGAGCCCAAGCCTGTTCAAATTGTAGTTCCTTATGGGCTTTATAGCAATGCTGTGGTACTATTTGTTCGCATGCCTGATATTGGAGTATTTGATGGCATTTATGTTACAAGTAAAGAAGGACCTAATGCAACATTCACTTTAAAAAGTGATGGTAAAATAACAATTGAAAACCTTACTGCAGGAACAGAATATGATTTCTGTGTTTCCACAAAAAGTGGACAAATGTTGAGCTCCTGTTACCATATATATGGTGTAAAAACATGTAAGTATTTTAAGTTCTTATAAAATTGCACCATATAAAATCCTGATTTTTGAACCTTTTTAACTTTATTTTTACTTCAGTGCAATAGAAAAGACATCCTATTCACAAATCATCTTGCTATATCTGTAAGCAATTTGTAGTTGTTCTAACATTAGCTGATTTTTAAACAAGACTATAGCAATACCTTATAATTTCTAAACTTGCTAAATTGTGGGTTTTATATTGTCTATAAAATGTCTAGCAAGTATTTCAAGATTTGGGGCTGTATTAAATTGTTGTCCTTATAGGAAGCAAAACACATTTTGACAGCTTACTTTAAACACAGATGAGTATCAATGGAGTTACTTCTGTGTCTTGAAATTATGAAGCTCATTCCTCCTGATGCATCTTTAAGCAAGTAATAAAAACACTGAGATTCTCCAAGATAACAAATTCAATAACAAAGACATTAAAAAAAATTCCAGCAAAGGTTTTAAAAATGAAATCTTAGTACGAACTTCAAAACTGTTTAAAAATACCTGCTGAAATTCTGGTTTGACTTTCCTATTTTTTATTATCTTTATACTTCCATAAGATTTTCTTTTCCCATTTTATAATTTTAATTTGAAATTATTTTCTGCTCTGTTTCTTTCAGAGTAGAAATTTTATACAAGGAAAAATTAAGATAGGATAGGAAGAATTAAGGAAGAAAGAAGAGGAGAATGATGGCAAGACAGAAAAATCTTTCTTAGATTGTGAAAGACTAGAAAGCTGACTTTTTAACAAAAATCAACTTTCAAGGATTTTCACAATACAGACTTTGTGTTTGATCAATCTTGTGACAGGATTTTATAAATTTAGTGGCAAAATGCCTTAGAAAACCCAATTTTTGTCTATCTCTTCTGGGGCCCAAAAAAACTTGGAAGAAAAAAAAGTCCTGATCCCTCACATGTACACAGTTTTTCTTGAAAAAAGTGTAGATTTTGGTATATTCCAGACAAAAACAGTTGTGATAGGAATGAAATAGATGTAAAGAAGAGTGGATACTCCTCTGTAAAGTGGTCTGAACTGTACCTGACAAGACTATACTAATTAGGGATAAAGTATATTTGTCTAGCCTGATATACCCAGTTTTGCTGAGCTGTTTGACAAAATTTAAGTAAGTTATGGCCATTATGGGGATGGTATTGGAGGGATCAACTTAATTCTGGAGCACTTTCCCACCTTGGAGTGCCAACTCTGTCCTTGGAGATGTGCGTGTTCAGCCTCATGTAATTTTAAGATAAAGAAGCAAGTAATTTTACTATATCTTTTTTTTTTCTCCATTTTTCCTTTCTCAATTTTTGAATTGCTGTGTGTCTGCATGCCTGAGATCAGATTTTGCCCTCCATTTGTTTGAATCTATTACTGGTTATCTTCGCTTTTATGTCTACACAGGAGATACAAAAAGTGTTAGACTGAACAAAGTATTGGATTGAACTGTAATGTGTTTTATGTTCTTCTGTAGGTCTGGCAGCTCCGCTCAATGTACGAGAAGGTGACGTTACTGACACTTCAATACAGATTACTTGGGATCGGGCTGATGGAGATTTTGAGCAATATGAAGTTACATGCACAAATTGTGCAAGTGCTTTCAGGGTATATTTTTTAGAACACCACTTGTGTATAAGCAATGTAGTTATTTGTCAGTCTTCTATTAAGAAGAAGCTATATCCCCCATTAAAATGGTTGGATATACCATTTACATAAGATAAGAAAATTTTGTAAGCAGTTTTGTGAAAGCTGTATTTGTATTTCTAGGTCCAGAAGGTTAAGCAAGAAACAGCAATGTTTTCCAACCTTAGTCCTGGTAAGCTGTACAATTTTGCAATTCGAACAGAGAAAGAGGGTTTCAGAGATAGTATTTTTGTGACAAAGGAAATAGACACAGGTGAGACCACAATGTTGTCAAATTTAGTATTTGTTTTACTCCTTGCTTTCTTTCTGAATTTCCTTTTTGTCTCAGAGAAAAGTAATTCAACCATCTTCATAATTTTCTTACAAATTTTTCTTATTTTCTTCTAATTATTCACTTACATTGTTATTTTTCTTATTCTTTGTCTGCAAGTGACTTTTAAGAATCTGAATATGGTTCCTGTGCACAATGAACTAGCAATGTTGACTTCCTGTTGACTCAACAAGCTGTACAGTCCAGTAACTGATACTTGCGCACCAGCGCTGGCTACCAGCACTATAGAAAACAAATTTTTTTTCTTGGACTTCTCTGTAATTCTTCATTTTTCACTTCAGTGCTGAGTTTGAACATGCTTAAATGTTCAGAGCTAAATTAGTTTTATGATGTTTTCTCATTCGCCTCCCTGTATATCACAAGGAAATTTGGGCTTTTCTACATTTAGGACATTTGATTCTCAGCAGTGTAGTTCTCCTCTATTCTAATACTGCTAGCTACTTGAACCTAAGAACATGGCCTCTCAAGCTATTAGATCTGGCATGTTATGTTTTCCTCTAACCTAATGTGGAAAAATAAAGCATAGTAGATGTGATTGAAATGGTTCAACATCTGTGATCGAAGATACGTAGTGTGTTGAATTTAAGGTACCAGTGAGGTAGAACTGATACAGGAATGTAAAGTGTGATGTGAAATAATTTCTGAGAGGACAAGTCATGGAGAGGCAAATATGGAGCAAGTAAATGATAATTCACTGGCATTTCCTATTCAAGAACTAAGGACTTGAAACTAGAAGAGAGAAAGTAGAAAACAAACAAATGCAAATGGTTGTTTACTAAATTTGTAGATAAATTGCAGAACTTCTGGCCACAAGATATTTTGTGTCATGGTTGTGATCATATGTTCAAGTGGAGACCAAAGACATTTACAAAAGAAAAATCTGCTGAGGTTTACTAAATTAAAAAAAATCACCTTTGGCTCATGAAGTTCTTGGGCTGCAAATTGCAGTTTGGGAGATTAAGAAGGGGATTACCACTCTATGCAATTCTTGCTTTTCTGGAGACATATGCTTTTGGTCACTGTTGAATAAGAGACACTGTGCTGCTCATGACTTTGGTCTCTGTCCAGTATGCTACCTCTTATACTGACATTTCTTTTCTTGAGGAATTGTCCATTTTTGAGGAACTCCACATCAGTGATATCAGAACTGCACTATGTAGCATTACAGTGCAGCAAACAGTTTGGCTCTGGATCTCCTGGATAACAAAAGTCCCTGTACATGTTACCACAGTGGTAGTAGTCTGTATGTCCTTGAGATAAGGAGGGACATGACATAAATTTTGTGGAGTTTGCATTGCATTCTGATGATGCGAGGCCTGTCATAAAGAAATGTGTTTAAAATGCTTTTTTGAATCAATGTATTTTGTTGTATTGTCTCACAGTACCAAGCGCAGCTAAATATCTGAACTATAGCAGAGACTCTGAATCAATAACTGTCACCTGGCCACCAGCCCAAAATATATTTGATGGATATGTTCTTTCAATAAATAGTAAAGACTTCAATGAGAAGAAAATGTTACCTTCTGATGTAAGGTATGATGATTACATTTAAAAAATAACTGATATGAACTCAAAGCAGCTGTTTCACTATATATTTAAAATAAGTAGCCTGTCCTGTTATTTATATGTGTATTTGATAATTTAGTTGACATACAGTACTGTACCATGTACTTTAAGAATTGCATTTTTTTAACAAATTGCAGGTCTCATATGATGTGCTTGTGCAAAGAAGACCAAACAAAATACTGCATTGGAGTGAGCAGTAGTAGAACCTGTGTGCAGTTCTGGATGTTTAATTTAATACTTCAGGACTTTCTAGTACTTGAACTTACTGTGAACCATAGTGTAATGCAGCCTATTTAAGATTTCATAATACTAAAATATTTTTTGAGTGACAACATATAAACATGTGTATACACATAATGTGTAAATAATATCCATAAAACTATAAAAATTAAATATATGAAGAGATGTGCATTTCTAGAATCCTAAAGAACACAATCTCTTCTTTTAATCTTTGTAGAACGTACAAATTTGAACATCTTCTGCCGGGCACTGATTTCCTAATCAGTATTGTGACAACCAACGGATTAAAAAGGAGTCACCCTACCATCCTCAAGATTAACACCTGTAGGTTCAGTTTATTAATGACTTTTCACAGTTTCAAATAACTAAGGTTGTTACATTTTAAGGTATTGTCTTAGAAAAGCTATTCTTTATTAAATCAATGCATCTTAATAATGTCTGGATTAATTCATGTAAGTCTTTCTTTTCAGTCTAAACATATTTGAAAGCTACTAAGCATATAAAAGCTTTTAAAACACAAACAAGTTTCATCTGTATTTAGTGGGGTTCTGCCAGTAACTGAATCAGCAGTAGTATTAGGACGATAAAATTTTCCATAAAAATTTACAAACTTTTATTTTATTTCTCATTCTATCGCTAATATGTGGAGACAATTTTCATTTATTTGAAGGTCTTCTTAAGTGCAAAATGAAATCTATTACTATGTGGAACTATAAAATAATGAATTACAGTAGTGTATTCTGCAAATGCCAATTTTCTTAAAAGTAATATAGATAATTTTAAATTTAAATTTTGCATTCTCAGATCCTGGTCCACCATCAGATTTACAGGTGTTTGGACAAGAAGAAAATACAGTCTACCTTTCTTGGAAACTACCAAGAGGAGGATTTGATATGTTTCAGGTGAGATAAGGATGGGAAGAAACCAATGTAATTTTTTTTTGGTAATTTCTCAATGAAGTTATCATTCTGCACGTACTGCAAACCCAGCAATAAACATTTGCCTGTATAACCCTTGGAAGTATGAGAGGGAATACTGCTATGGGGAAAGGCCAGCTAAATACATACTTCCTATTGCATAACAATTAAAAAAAAAGAATATTCTAAAATTATGCTTTTCATAGCTTTCAAAAATTGATTTTTCAGCTAGTGTGCAATAAAAAAGATTACAGATCAAGGGTTGAATGCAACTGCAATGTAATCTTTTTTCCTTAGCTTTCCAAATTTGTAATACAAATTCATTTAATTACAGTGAAAGATAAAAAATACATTCCATATAGAAGAATCTAAATGTTTTGTTTAGAAAGTTACAGAATAAAACTTTTTTTTTAATACAGCAATTTATTAAACAAAACTGGAAACATTTGATACCGCCCATACCCTCCTGGCCTTGGGCATTAAGAAGTTTAGGGATTTGGTTATATGTAAATAAAACTAGTTACTATTCCTGACTTTGTTCAATCATTTATACTTTAGAATTTTTTATGCCCTGTTTAAAAAAGTATTAGAAATAGCTAGTACTTCCCTGTTCACCATACCCATACTTTTCATTTTATAAACTTCAATTTTCTCAATTGTCTTTTAAGCAGCATTCTTTTATGGAAGATGTTCTACACCTCTTATTATCTTTTTCTTTAGTTTTTCTAAGCCTTTGATATCCTTCTTGAGATTGGTTGTTCACATAGGTGTGGGTACACAGTGGAGTAATCAGATGATTAATAGTGTTTTCTGTTTTGCTCCCTATTTCTTTCGTAGGCAATAGCATGCTGTCTACCTTTCTGACTACTGTCAGACTATTTTTAAAACTTCTTCTGTGAACACTTCAGTTCAAGACTACTCAATTTGACTGAAAATTCGTAGTTCATTAATAATGATTCTGTGTGGGAACATCCTTACCATTGAAACAAATAGTTCAGTTACTATTTCTCAGACGCCTTGTCTACACTGAGTGTTCACTTTGTATTTTGGTCTTCTAGTGGTCTCTCCAACATCCAGAAAAGCTCATTGTGTGTTTAAATCACTGGTTTTATAAGTTATTACATCCTTTTCAATTTTCTTTTCAGTCTCCTTTGGCCCACTAACCTGTTTCTGCTCTGCCTTGCTTCCTTGTGCTTCTTAAGTTAGCTTGCATAAATTATATAAGCGTATAGACTTTATTTTTCTTGTATAGACAAGGTCTGCAGTTTTTAATGATATCATTCTCAAAGTAATACTTTTTACTGTTCAAATGGTTTTACTCTTTCTGCATTCCCTCTACAAAGTTCTGAGTCATATTATGTGTCAAAGTTGCATTTCAATGTTTTTTTATACCATGACACTTTTGGACACTTTTCTTTTAATTTGCTTGATCATTGTTCAGTAGCTCTCCTTTTATAATTAAATTTCACTACACTGGAATTTTAATTTTTTTCTCACAAAGAAGCATATATAACAGCGTGGCTCTTCAGCATTTGCAGTTTGAATCATATCACTTGCAAAAAAATCTAGAGTTATTTTGCTTCTCTCACTTCTCTTTCAGAAAAAATCCACTATGACATCTAAATACTTCGTACATGGATCATATTTCACTATGGCATGCAACCAGTCTCCCTTTTGTATCCTGGCTTTTGCAATCTGTCTTGTATCATCCTTTGCATTTTGCAGCTACTGTGTCAGCACAATAATGTGGTCAATAAAACTTTGTGATAGTGTAGTGTTGTTTTAAACATGTCATTTGAATCAATATAGATTTAGAGATATAATCTTGTACAGTTAACTTACTAGTCTAGGATATTTTTTAGTATACAATGAGACAAAGTACTTTCCTTAAAAGGTCTACACGGTTTATACTCTAGTACTACAGTGTTCAATTATTTTACTCCCTCTCTCCCATGACTTCAATTATATCCTTACCTAAACCTTGAAATCTAAGTATCCTTAGGATAGTTCCTTGATATTTCTTCTCTCTTCATTAGTGTAAAGTTGCATTGATCTGAATGGATAAGAGTAGCCAGTTAACCTCTCAACACTGTTTGCTGATGTAACCTGGCATATTTTTACAAATTTTAAAATTAAATTCAATTATCTTGTTCCTGTTTTGAACCTGTTCAGATACTCTTTTGAATGTGGTCATGCTATTTTTACCATCCTGTGGAAAATAATTGTCATCTGTAATATTGATCTTTATGGCATGGTATTATTGCTCAGGATCTCATAGAGCAAGCAGCCAGTCACATTAGACAGTGCTTTGTTTGCATAAATGAGCTTATCTTTAAATCTTTAATGAGAAAGGCTTCCGTAGACTGGTTGCTTAGTAAGGTGCACCTGCATAAAAGGGATCATTTTACTAATCATTTAAAATTAATTATCTCTGATCAGCAACTCTCTATGCAATATATTGTAGTTTGTAGAGCGAAGAGTTCACAAAAGGTACTTTCCTAACTTGTTTATACTAGATGTAAATCTTTAATCTATAGCTTTGCTTCTAGCATCTTGCAGTGCTGTAATTCTAATAAGGTGATGACAGTTTCCAAGATTTAGTTTGCATGAATAGGCACCATGCTGGTAAAATATACAGGGGGGAAGTTGATTGTTCTTCCATAAATGAATAGCAGCTAAACAAAAATGCTTTCAGGTCACTGCCATGTGTATAATATCCCCCTTCTGTTGGAGGAAATAACATGTGTCAGGACAGGACTTGCTGATGTAGGCAATTGCAAACCTTGATCTCTTAGTATCAACAGCCATGCCTGAGAAACCCATGTGTGCATGTTGGAGATGCTTGTCTAGTGCCCTCCTCTGAAGGGCAGGCACAATCTGCGTCTTGTCTTTACCTAGTGCATCTATGAAGCAGTCTGCAGTTTTCTATTCCCCATAAAGGACTATCACAGGAATTTTTTTAGTCACCTTAGAGTTGTCTGGGAGGTCAGAAGGAATCCTCACAGCCTCTAGGAGTTAAGTGCTCAAATTTCAATTACTTGGTATCTCCAGCACTTTTATTCTCTGCAGTGGCTGTAAACAAAAGAATTTTCAAGGCATAACAGTGAACAGAGTTGAGTGAATGATTCCTTGGGTTTCTTTTTAGAATCTCAGCTCTGAAGAGTGCACGGGTGGAATTTTTGGTTGAATGGTTTTGGGTGGGGTCTTTTTGGTCTTTTTTTTCCCTTTATTTGGTTTGGGTTTTTTGTTTTGTTGGCTTTTTTTTGCCAGAAAGGTACAGAGTTAGTTAACTGTACAGTTCATCAGTACAGCTGTGTGACTGAGCAGAGTATACTTTATTATCCTTCCTCCAAGAGCCAAAACCTGTAAGCCATGACTTAACTTTGATTCCTACATCTACTTTCAAAATCATTGCTTTCACCACTGTCTGTTCACTGGGCTGTTAATGAATCTTAGAGTAATTGTGGATCAACCTTGTGGAACATAATACAAAGCTTCTTGATTTTTTTTGTCTTTAAAATATGGAAAATATTCTAAGTATTTTTATATTTACAGGTAGTTGCAATCTCTTTTATGAAGTTAAATGGTCTAATATAAGAAATTCTTTTTCTTCAATAGCTTTCATATTGTCCAATGAATAATGAAAAGCTGATTATCAGAACTATTTATGACAGCAGAGCTGTAGTGCAAAATCTGGCTCCTGGGACAGAATACATTTTTCATTTAAGGACAGTTAAAGGCTTGGATTCCTCTGTGGCTGTGGAGAAAAAAGTCATCACAAGTAAGAAAATACCTTATGTCGTTTTGAAAACCAGTAAATATTCAGAGACATTTAAATCATTGTTTGTAAGTGACTGAAAAGGGTCACGCATTTCAAAATGAAACTTTATCTTTGGGAGGCAAGTTCTGCTTCTTCTTTAGATACTTGTTTAAACAGGACCCTTGCACATAACACACTGGATTCAAGCTGAGGAGTGTAGACATAGCTGAAGATAGCTCTTTGAAAAACAAGGTGAACCCAAAATCCTTTCAGCTCTAACAGAGCCAGAATAGCTTCCTATACTTTGAGAAACACCTTGAATTTTGTTTACAATTGTTTCTGCATCTCTTAAATTCTTGCAAGCCCATAGTCTCAGATTGCAGGATTGTTCCTGTACAAGGCCACAGAATGCTTAATATAGTAAGAGAAATTGTGTTTCAGATAGCTTAACAAGGTCCAGAAACCAGTATCTTGCACTCATTTTCTGTCTCTGAGCAAGCATGTTTTCCAATACTCCTGTGATGCAACATAAAAAGAGGGAAATTTTTTTTGGAAGAGTTTTGAAGAAAGAGATTTATATAAAATTCTGACTTGTCAAAGGGGATAAAAAGCAGCTAATTGTAATCAGAAAATAAATCAACTCCCACATTTATGTACATGCACATCGTAGACCTCCTCCCTTTTTCAGTGGATTTTCTATGGCTTGTTTGGGCTGTAACTCCTTAACTGAGTTAATAGTCAAGGGGGCTCTGTTTAGTTATTCAAAGATGAATGAATCTCTAAAAAGAAGCCCCAGATCTAGTTCTGCAGATTCTTGATAATGAAAAGTGAAGCACAATAATCATTATCATGGTCCTAAACATGATTTTTATCCTCAAGTAAATATTTTCAAGAGAATTGTGGATGAGTACAATGTATGGCTAAATTATGGAGAGTTTGCTATATAATTTTAGTGGTAAATCTTTAGGATTTTCTTTCATGTCGAATAATAAGAACATGTTAATTAATATTTTTTTGGGAAAGTTTCAAGCAAGATAAATTGATAATTTAGATGATTCACTTTTTAGGAGGAATGGAAACATTTTTCTTTCCTAACTGCAGCTGTGTTGCGGAGGTTAATGGAGGTGTTATTTGTAAATTATCTGCAATTTTAGGAATCTTAATATAATCAAAAGGATTATTTAAAAAGGAAAAAAGCAGTAATCACTGAGACTATGCTATTTACTGTGTTCCTAAGTGAACAGATGAACAGTTTTCCAAAATTATATGGCCTATGATGTATTTTAGAAAACTTTAAACTGAATAAAATCTCTACTTCTGCTTAAAAAGTGTTCCCATTCTCATTCTGTTTTACCAGTGAGCAGTGTTAGTGTTCTTACAGAAGATCTGATAAATTTGGAATTTTCTTCTGTAAATTACATAATACACACAGGAGATACATTCCCAGGTTTTACTCTGTGCAGCATTATGGCACTGTTTCCTACATAGCCATACAAACATAGTTCTAAAATTTGTATCAATATTTCACAATGCTATGAACTCTCAATTAGTTTAAATAAAAAATATCTATTTTTAAAAACTAGTGTTTTCTTATGTTTTAGGGACTAGTGATTAAATTTTTCGTTATTAATCTGAATAATTTTTATGTAGAACCTGCTGGGATATGTGGTCTGACATTAAAAATGGTAAATAGTTCATCTGCAACTGTAATGTGGAATCCAACCAAGACAAACTTCACTTCTTATAAAGCATCTTTATCAAACAACACCTTTATAAAAACGTTAAGGATTCCAGGAACACTGACTGACTTCACTGTTATGGACTTGACTGCTGGTGGCATTTACAACTTCACACTGCAAAGAGTGAAAGGAAATACTGAAGGAGCTTCTTCTTTCATTGAATTTGTAACAGGTCTGTACGGTTTCTTGCTTTCTCTTTGCCAATGAATGGTAGCTGCCACTAACAATTCATGTTTAGCTTTTTACATCTCACTTCATAGCATAACACTGAAATTTCAGGAGATCTTGCATGTAATAGTTTGCTGTCATTCTGGACATACATTACTTATACCCTATCCAACCTGCATGTAGAGATACACTACCAGAAACATAATGTCTTTAGCTATGTTGCATTTCTTTTGGCCAATTTCAGGTCTTATCCTGCAAGGAGTTACACATGAGCTGTGTTTTATCTTACTTCATTTCAGTAGGATTTTGCAGTGAGTGAAGTTAAATAGGTTTAGAAATGTTTGTAGAGTTAAGGCTTTAGATTGTAAGATACACTCTGAGATTAATCCTGGGTTGTATAAAAAGACCTCTAAAAGCATAAAGTCCAGCTTTAAAGGAAGCTGAGATCCATGGAAATAGTAGCACTGATGATAGCAGCAGGACTTAAAATTTATAGGTATATACTAAAAGGAAGAAACTATGCTCTCAGTTAAACTTGTCCACCTCCACTATTATTCTTATATTTTTTGTTCTGTTAGTGTTAAAATAAAGCAACGAGTTAAAAATGAAAATGAGACAATACAGACTGAATATAACATCTAAAGTTAATATTTGTATATTTTAATGTTTTAGATTATTTTATGGCAGAACTGGAGTAATCTGTTTGAAACAATTCTGCAACTTTGAATAGTCAGTGCAAAGAGTTTGTGAAAGGTATATAATCTAAGCAGATTTAGAGCAATTAAAAAAGGAGTGGAGCTCTTTCAGGGTGGAAACAATATGATATTCAGACTGCGCAGTACGATACTAATGTGTAAACAGTGTTAGAAGATTTAGTCTGAATTCTGGAGAGCCATATTAGTAAAGCAGACAGAGAACTGAGTGCAAGGGTAGTGGTGAATTTGAAATGTGGCAAATAGCATCACTGACTGGGCTTGCTCTGAGAGATAAGCATAGGGAAAGCTGTTAGTTGTGCATATGTTCCAGAGTAGAAAGGAGGAAGATACACAAGGCTACATTTTAATGGTCTATTGAAGAACTTAATATTTGATTCATTATTAGGTTTAGAGTGGATGATTCATATTTAAAGGTGCATTTAAAGGCAGATGAAAATGAGATAGTGTGACAGGAGCAGGTGGGAACTTGACTTTAATAAAAGGAACAGACTACCCAAATTTTGGGGACTTAACTCACTAGAGTTCATGGAATTACTAGGATTACAAATACATGAAATGTATAAAAGAGTTAAGAACCTGCTAGCAGCAGAACAAGCACCAGCTATATGTTGAATTTCAACAGCAACTCTACTTATGTCAGTAGTAGTAGTGCTGACTTTAAGGCTGAGGGCAGCAGAAACACCAGGACTGTTCAGCAGTGTTAACTGACCACTGGGCAGAGATCCTTGAGCTTGCTCTCTGGGAATGGAGATTTCCACACAGTGTACTTGGGAGCCTATCAGCCAAGTCTCAGAGCTAGTATAGCAACTGTAGTACCCAGACTAATTAGCAATTATCCTTCATGTAGCAAGTAAACTCTTCTTGGATGCTTGGATTTAGTCGTAACTACTAATATATTTTTTAAGGGTGTTAATGTCTTTTATTCCAAAATTCTCTTTCAGAACCTGCAAAACCAGAAGGACTTAGATTCTTCAATGTTTCATCATATTTTTTTTCACTGTATTGGAGACTACCATATGGACTTGTAGACAGATTTCATGTGGATCTTATTCCTGATCATGCTTCTGTTGTTATCCTAGATCTTGGAGTTAGGAAGTATCAAGTATGTGCTTTTATTACAGGACTTGCATGGCCAGCTTTTCCTTATGCACTGTGCTGGTGAGAAATTGAAGCTTTCCCCCTTAGCTGTTTAATGCAAATATGAATATGAAAGTGTTAATGAAAAATTGGTGAGAGCAAATTTCAGCAACCAGAGTTTGTTACTTAACAACAAGTAGTGAATTTACTTTTTTTTTAAAGTCTACTAGAAGGATACAGCCAGTCATCCAAGGGTTCATGAATAGTTTAACAAGGGAAGGGCAGAGCTATTGAGTAATACAGACTCATTAATTGTGCACTTGCCAGGAAGATCTGCGCTTAAATCATTAATGCAGGCAACACTTCACTGCTAAACCATCAAAAAGATATAGGAGCACTTTTTGATTCTGCGGTCTGGAAATTATAATAGTATTAACAGAAATAATGGTTGTTCTGGATATTTTGCTTCTTTTTTTCATTGGAACTGCAAAGATACAGGTATTTTATATAGCGGCTTGCTAAAAAAAATTAATTATGTTGATTTCAAAGGATGGGCTAGCTTAAGGGTCAAAAACTTGTTTTTCAGGTTGCTTTTTTGTTCATTCTTTCCAAGAGGAATTTTATAATGCCTCATCTTTACTTTGATAATGATAACACAGAAAAACCTGTATAGATAGATTGATAAGTGATTCTCTGATAAAATTAATAGTTAATTTTGTTGTTCTTTAATATTGAATGTTATACTTATCTTAGGGAGGGTAGTTAAATAAGATAGCAAAATACTGTAGTATAGCTAACAGATGTAACCTACTATCTTTTACTGTTGGAAGTTCTGTTATATCTCTAAAAACTTATTAACAGATCTCTTTCAGTAATGAAATGATTACATTTTTCTGTGATTTTTTTTTCTGTTTTGTTTTCTGTTTTTTGTTTGTTTGTTTTTTCATTTTTATGTTTCTTGGTAGAAGACTTAAATAAATCTATGTCCTATTTCAGGCTGATTTTTCTAATACTATTCCTGGAACAACATACAATGTTACAGTTTCTGCAGTTTCTTCTTCACTTTATAGTTCACCTGCAAGTAGAACAGTGACAACAAATGTGACAAGTGAGTTAAAAATGACTGATGAAATTTCGTTGATTTTTTTTAAACTATACTTTTTTGTGTTATTATATGCACAGTAGTATCTAAGAAATTACAATCAGTTTTGAACAGTGATTAAAATCTTTCATCTTCTTTAACTATTTAAAAATACATTGAATCTGATCTGTTCTATGAGAGCATGAGAATTTTCAAGCTTTTGAAAAATTTGTTATTGTGTTATGTATTAATATCCATACCCCAATTTATATGTATAGTGGCACATACAGAAATGTTCAGAGACATTTAAAAAAAAGTAGCCATATCAGATGTGTTTTTTAAGACAGTGAATTTGCTTTTGACATGTTTCATGGAAAAGAACTTTAATTAAGAATGCTGGAATATGTCAAATATCAAATTGTCATTAAAGTGTGTTTTTAAGACAAAGATCTTGAGCATTACATTTTTTACATTCTTACAGAAGAATAGTTCCAATGCTCCAAAATTCATTTAATCATTTTTGTAATAGGACTCTAGCCAGAAAAAAAGTTTTTTATTCAAAAGTACATCAGTTTTCGGTAGTTTTATGAGTTTATGCTGACTGATGATTTAATTTCTCTATAGAATCTGTGAATCTGTCTCCACTATTAGGAAAATTAATTAACAACTGGTTTATATGTCTATGGGTTTTTTTAGATCCTGGACCCCCTGTGTACCTTGCAGGTGAAAGAGTGGGCTCTGCTGGGATTCTGCTGTCATGGAATACACCACTGCATCCAAATGGCAGAATTCTCTCCTATATTGTTAAATATAAAGAAGTCTGCCCATGGAGGCAAACAGCTTATACACAGGTCACAACAAAGCCAGATAGTTTGGAAGTTCTTCTCACCAATCTTAATCCTGGAACAACTTATGAAATTATGGTAAAAGCTTTACAAATGACTCTTAGTATTTTGAATTCTGATTAATTGTAAACTGTGTAAGTTTATAGTAGGTCCCTATAGAGTTTTCAGAGGGACATTGCTAATAAATTGTTGCCATATTACAAAATACACTAGTCAGGTATTTGTTTACAGTAATGTTTTTGAATGTACTTAAAAATATTTCCAAGCAAAATTGTACTGAAATGTAGTTTCTTCTATTGATATTCTTATTGAAATATGGCATTATGTGCTAAAATATGAAAAACAAAGGGTAGAATTTTCAGAAACATCTAAATCCATCCTCATCTTCATTGAGTTTTAATCTTTCAAATGACTGGTGCACTTTGGATATTACACGTAGATTTCTAAATCATCTCAGCCAGATCCAGAAAAGCAGGTCTTCTATGTATGGAACTTGTTTACATCGAGATTAGGCACTCCTGATCCATCTCTGAACTCTTCAACAATACATGACTTCAAGTGGACAGAAATTAACTGCTATTCTCTTGGCAGTAGTTGCCAAGCTCCTAAAGTGGGGGCAGTATCCAATTCATACTTTACTGTACAAGTAGGTAGGGTTGGCTATAATCATGAGGTGTGTGTGCATGAGGGGCATGTTTGTATGGCTTAGGAAGGAGCTAGCCAGTGACACAGATTCTCCTTTACATCCTAGATGTAAAGAATACCCTACCTTGTATTTCTTTGCTGTGTTTTTCTGCTAGGGCTTAGTCCTTTTGTTTAAGCAGCTTTACAGTCTTTGAAAAATGCACTGTTTAGTGCTGAGAAGTGATTAGAACAAGTTTCCCTGTCTGACCTGTGGGCTCCCTCTGCTTTTTTTTCCCCTTCCTGTGTGCTGTCTGTCACTTCTATAGTGATCCACACTTAGTTTTGCACATCTGCCCCTTCTCACCCTGTGTTCCCCAAGATCTGTGCTGTCAGGTCCCTCAGTGCCACTGCCATACCTTTGTTGCTTGACGTTGGCAGGAGGGAATGACCCTGGAGAAAGCTGGAGAGCTTTTCACTTTGCTTCTTCTTTCACACACCTCTCAACAACACTCTTGGAATTTTGCTCATGTTTTACCTTTTGTTGTCTCTTTCATTTATCAAAATAAGAAGTTAGACTTCATTCCTCTTTATTTGTAAGTAATGCATGCTTATGACCCATCACTGCATCAAGTTGTCACTCAGTCCTGTATTGTGGAGCGAACAGCATTGTTGTTTTGTTTATCTTCACAAAATCTCAATGTAGTGCCCTTCTGAGCACTACATTGAGCACTGAAGCACATCTACCGTAAAGTGCATCCACAGTTCCCTGACATATTGTCTTTCCACAAAAAGACGTTTTCCTTGGGTTTCTTCTCTGAGGGAGGTTGACCTGCTCTTGCTATTCTTCAGGAGACAGAGAAATAAAAGAGAACATATATTCCTTTTTACTCTTTTAACTCATAGTAAGTAAAATAGGGTTGTGAAAGCTGGTTTAAGTGAATTATGTTAAGGAACAAGAGTGTTACTGATGTTATTCCTGTGGTTGAGTGCCATAAAATAGGGACTCAGCACTTCTGATGAAAATCACACGTGATTTCCTCCATTTCTTATGCTGTTTCCTACTTTCTTCCTTTTATTTTTCTACATTTATATATTGAATATAAATGTAAACAGTGCAACTAGAAAAGGCATGTTCATTTGTATATTTACAGTTTAAAAGCTAGAAGTTGAATCCCTGTGTATCCTTGAGATTTTCAGATTCCTGAAACTATATATTCTATAGATTCTCTAATATGAATTCTTTTTTTTTCTGTAGGTTGCTGCTGAGAACAGTGCTGGTATTGGAGTATTTAGTGATCTTTTCCTTTTTCAGACTGCAGAAAGTGGTAATTTTAATAAAGCTGCTAGTTATTTTAATTAAATCTGCTCTAATTTGTTCAAATAAACTATCCATGGCAAAATTCATACTTCAAAAAATTCTAATGCATTTAGAACAAAATCATAATTTTTTTCTTATTCTCTCACTCAGTGGCAAAGATTTATTTTGTTCTATCTGCTAATAACAGCATTTAAGGTGTGCACATATGGGTGTCTCTTGTATGCAAGGTCTGTTTCTGTTAGACTTTTCCTATGCCAGTTTCTAGGTAGGCTGCTTCCAGAAAGTAAGGTCACAGGAGAGCAGAGCTACGTATTAAGTGGACCCATCTGTTGTTGCCTGCAACAGTACCAGGAGATAGATTTTTTTGTGGGATCAGCTCTGGCATTGCCTACTTAAATCAATCTTTATTGGTTTAGTGCTGGGTTCTAAGAAGCCTTGCACAGAAACTATTGTACTAAATTTTTATGTCTTAATTCTGAAAAAAAAATCTGAAATGAAAATAAAAATTAGAGGGTTTTTTAAGATTAAAAAAACATAGTTTGAGTTTGCATAATCTTGCTCGTGCTCCAGGAGCACTTGTGCCTTGGCTGAAGAGCTGGCACCAGTCCAATTACATCAGGATGAACCAGTCTCAGTGGAATATAGAATTCATGCTGCCATGGCAGTGACTGTCCCTCTGTGTTTAGGCTGCTTTCTGTTTCTATGCAAGCTACAGAGTGAGATATCTCAATTAATGTCAGAAAATCATTGCTTTGCATGAGATTTCTAAGATAATGTAATAATATATGAAACCAAATATGAGAAGGAGTAGTAAACTTGCCACATGGAGCTATGAAAAATTATTATTCTTCACTATTCTAAGTACATTATTGCTGGTGGAAAACCATATTTCTGTGAGCTTTATGATTTATTCATCTTTGACAGAGGACAACACATTTTCCATATGAGAACATAAGCTTTTTACTTTTTGATGCATTTCTGACTACATTGTTATTAAGGCTAAAATCACTCATTATAAATGTAATTGTAAGGTTTCTTCAAATTCTAGGTGAGTTATGTGTCACTGATATTACATTTGTACTTTTACCTTCTTAACCTTTTTTTTGTTTTAACTCTTGCTTTGATGGCTAAAGAAAGCCAAACGTCTTGATTAACATGCAGATGTGCAGTTTGAAGTAAGAAAGTTAGCCAGAAAATAAAATTATTTAAATTTAAAGGCTGTGGTCTGGGAAAGGGGAAAAGAGATGAAAGGTCTGGAAAAGACTTACCAGGACTAAAAGCCCTGAATGGGAAGCTTGAAGGAGCTGTCTTAATTCACCCGTGGAAGATCTGCAATTGTGGAATGCTGTTTTTTTTAAAATAGTGTAAAAAGCTAACCCTTTTCTCTGTAATATCAAGGCTACCTATTACCGGACTTGCTGCAGACTGTGCTACATGTAGGCAGGACTAAGAGAGAGGGACTACTCTAATTTGCAGGGAAGTCCAGATAGCATGTAAACTCTCATTTAGATGCTGCATATCATTATTTTGTGCTATGATTAATACAGATACTCTGACAAAAGGCCACAGAAACTGTCACTGATACAAAGAACACCATTTCTGCAGTAATAGTGAATAGTCTGTTTAAAGTGAGTTATTTAAAGCTACCATAAATCTATATGCAGCTGAAAAGATGACACAGGTAAAGAGAAATAAAATGCCCAGTGTTGTCAGATGCTCTTAAACAAACAAAAATGGACAAAATTTTGCTACTTTTGGAATAGTAGGTGACTTTCTTCTAGAAAGAATATTTTTAAGCTGACCAAACCAATTACTATATTATTATGAGACTGAAATAGTTATATTTCTTACTTAAACTATATAGAGAAAGAGCTGGTTGTATATCAGCTGCTTTACATGTGTTTGTGAATGACTGTTATCTATTTGCTCCAGGGTTTGGAAACTAGAAATGGCATTACCAAAAAAAAAAAAAAGAGGAATTTTCTTTTTTTCAATGCTGAGAAGAAAAGTTTATCTTACTGCTTTTGTTTGTTTTGTTTTCAAGCTCCAGGTAAAGTAGTGAATCTTACAGTTGAAGCCTTAAATTCTTCAGCTGTAAATCTGATCTGGTTTCTACCTCGGCAACCAAATGGAAAGATAACTAGTTTCAAGATTAGTGTGAAACACGCAAGAAGTGGAATTGTAGTGAAAGATGTCTTGGTTAAAGTAGAGGACCTTCTATCTGGGAGGTTGCCAGAATGTAATGTAAGTGCTATAAACCTTTTAAACTAGAAATAGACTTATCCCACAGAATATAGTTTTACATTGAATATGGTTATACATTTGAATTTTGAGACATAAAAAGTAGAGAGGCTTGCTTTTCAGAACAATTACAAATACCTTACAAACTTAGACCCAAGGCAGGATATAATGGTTGAAGAAAAATAATTCTGTTCAAAATCATTTAAACGGAATGCTTTTCCTTGAAAAGCTCGGTTTAATCAAAGTAAAAATGTTAAGAAAGGTTAAATTTGGTATCCATTTAACAAAAAATCGCAAAATAGATCATTTTTGTTCAGCTTTCAATTTTTAATTTTTTTGTTTGTTTATTTTATAGGATATTCAGTTAGAAAAAAAAACAAGAACTCAAGGAATTTTTTTTGTCAGTTAAGACATAGAGTAATATTAATGTCCTATTTTTTATGTAGCATGATAATGGTTTTTGTATTTCGAAAATATGCTTTATTCTATGGCATTTCAATATTTTTGAAATACTTCTCATATCAAAATGAAAAGATGCATGATTATCAGAGTGATTTTCAAAAATACATTTGTAGTCTAAGTTGTTCTTAAAATAAGCATTCATTGAAAATTTTCTGAATTTTGACTATTCATTGCATTCAGACCTGTAACCACTGTATACCTTTCAGAATTTCTTGAGGAAAGTTCTCTTTTCTAACATTTATTCTCCTTTTCCTTCTTACTCTGAGGACAGTGTTGCAACTACTCAAACTTTTTTCCTTTTTTCTTTTTTTTCCCCTCCAATTTTTTAGGCTTAATATTTTAATGAAAAATGTAGATGAATGAAAAAGTATGATAACTTTGGTTTCAGATTTTATTTGGAAAATCATCTTAGGCATTGCAAAGGTTCCTGACACCAGGCTGATTTAATTCAGCACTGAGAAGGCAGACTGCCACCTACTGAATCATAAGTATTGGTTACCATAATGTTTAACAGTTTTCCAGAGTTGTCTCCTGGCAGTATGTACTAAGAAATTCTTGTCTGGTTTTGTCCATGACATATGGATATATGTATTCTATATATGTATATATACATACATATATAGAACATGTATGTGATGTAAAAGGACCTCACTACAGAACTTTTTTTCAAGAGGGAGACTGAACACTGAAAATGGAATCTGGGAATAATTAAATGAATCCTAGAGAGATGCTTCTGTTCAGTCACATATAGGATCTTTTTAAATAAGACAGGAAACTATAATACTGTCACTAACAGATGTACCAGCACTGTCAATCTAAATTTGGAAATGGAGTGTAAAAAGGAGAACCAATTCAAGCTAATATTTTTTCAAAGGTGGTCTGCCTTTTTTTGATCTACATATATTTACAATTATAGGTTATAGATACAGCTTATCATGTTTCATATTTTGTCTTTATAGGATAAGAGTGAATCATTTCTGTGGAGTACTACCACTCCTTCAACTACTTTTGGGAAATCCACAATTCCTTCACAGACTACAGTTACACCAAATACAGAGGCACCAAGTCAGATGAGCTCTGTTTGGAATGAACCGATTAGCTTTGTTATAACTAACCTCAGGCCATATACCACCTATCTTTTTGAAGTTTCTGCAGTTACCACTGAAGCAGGCTACATCGACAGCGCAATTGTCCGGACACCAGAATCAGGTAAATACTGCTTTCAAATGGAAATAAAGTTCTCAGATTTAGGTAAAAACTTCAAAATATCAATTTGAATTTTTGTTGCAAAATACTTCAGTCTGAATCTGTCTTTATCTGTATCATGCTTTTGTATTTACATGATTACTTAATTTTACCCGATGGAATCAACTGATAATGTATGTAACAATGTATCTATTAATATACAGTGAGTGAGAGTTCAGTTATTATTAGGAGTCAAAGGTACCAAAGATATGATCAGGACAGATCAAATTTTATGAAAAACTGAAGGTAATTTAAGAACTGCAATTAATAGTACAATGGAAGGAGAATTAAAAATAAAGATGGAGGGAAAAGGTGTCAGTCATAGTATTCAAAAAGTATGTGTATTGTGTACATAGCAATGCTCTTAAAGCTTCTTTGCCTTTGTAGAGAAACAAGCAGTATAAAGAAAACTTCTGTCATGTGGTTCCCAATCTGGACCTATTGCAGAAATTTGTTCAGTAATGAAGAAATCTTTAAGCACCAGGTGAAGTTGATTTTGGATTACTTGCAATGCACTGAGAAGTTAGAATTGGAAACAAAGGTCCAGGAGAAGGAGTTTTATAATGGCTTAGGTAGTGGACAGCACTGTTAGTAGAGCTATACCATAAAGGCATTCTAGAAGAATCATTCTGACTCTCTGTTTGCTAATACATCATTCTTTTGCTTAACTCGAGTTGATATTACTCAATTGCCTTTTTACATACAATATTCATAGCACTGTTCAGATGAAAAAAAATTTTATTCCCTTCTAAAGCAGTTAATTTGCATTGCTTTGATAGAATCAGAATAGCCTTAGTTTGCTGCTCTGTTCAGGTTAATGAAATTTTGGACAGTTTCTCTTCTAATGATATCAGGGTTAATTTCCAGTATTTATTTCACCCTCTTAACATCCTAGGATAGATGCACTGGTAGTAAGAAAACCCTGGAAAGTGATGAAAAGCTTACGGAATGGGATTTAGTTTCACCACATGCATAGAAATTGTCAACTGTTTGAAAGATAAGGCTTTCTCTCCTTGCATAGAGCCAGGGTCTGTGAGAAGGGAGGTGGGCTTACTGGTCAGTGTGAGTGTGCACAGGGCCAAAGGCACAGTCGGTCCTTCTGATCCCAGTCTCAATAAGTCCTTCCTCTTAGCGGCACACTGGTACACCCAAGCTTGTTGGTGCTCCATGCTGAAAATTATTTCTGTTTCCTCCTGCTAGAACTTTCTGAGCCATGCTTCAGCTCTCCTGTGTTTCTGACAAAAAGATGATATTTTTCTTGCTTTGGTTTTTGGAAAGGAGGCTACTTCTTTAAAGTGTTTTAAAATGCTAGATTTTTTTTTAAAAGTCTGCTTGGAAATACTCCCTTTGCCAGGATGGCTGTCAATTGGAGGACACTTTTACAAAGAGAAAAAGATTAAAACTTGGGAAAAATAGTGGACTTCTGAGATGATGCTTCAGAAACATGTGCAGTTTTAACTTATGCAATTTGCAAAACTAAGAATGATTAAGTAGTCACTACTGACTAATCTATAGCATACATTTTAGAAATGACAGGATATTTAATTTCTTTCATTTGTACAACAGTTTTCACAGAAGACAATAGTACTTTATAATAGCAGTATATTAGTTAACTTGTGTATTTGTTTACAGCATCAGTTATTGTCTCCATATTGGCTTAGATATCAGACATGACTCATCAAGACTGATTTTCATAGAAATTTATGTCAAACATTTTCCGTAAGTTTACTTCTGTATGCAGCATTTTTGAAAACTGGGTTTGATTTCACTCTATGTGGATGTAAACAATTCCATCTCCTTTAATTGGATTCTGATTTTAATATCAATAATAATCTCTCATTACTTTATAACTACAGTAAGGGGTACTTTAGAGAGAGTAGGGGTTGCATCCTATAATCACTTGATTGTTGGGTTCATTTAATTTGCACAAACAGAGTCATGAAAATGGAAAATTACTCATGTATGAAATGTTTTAACAAACTTCATTGGTTACAGGTTTAGCTTTCAGGATAGTAATATATATCATTAGAGCTGCAAGAAATCTTCGATATGAAGTATTGTCTGTGTGAAAAATGAACATATTCAAGGAAGGAAAACTTACCTGATGTGAGCCCTGTATTACTGAGCCTCACAATCATATTTGAGCATCTTCTGTATGTAATCTATAGCATGGTAAAATCCATGCTAAACTTGGTAGAATCCCTGCCATCTTTGTCTCTTAACGACTATTCACATACTACCAGCTCTCTTGATACCTTTTCTGAGCATTACCTTAAAAGAAAAATTTAGTAATTTTAATGACATATACTTTTCCCTTCAGAATATTTTATGTTTAAAATGAATTGTCTGATATGTGGTTTTGGAAATCCTAATATAAATTATTTTATGTTCAAAGACTTTTTCCAATATTGTTTAAGTTCCAGAAGACCCACCACAAAATTTTGCCAAGAGCAACGTTACAGCAAAGTCTTTCTCAGTAATGTGGGAACCCCCAGCCATTGTAACAGGAAAGTTTAGTTACAGAGTTGAGCTGTATGGACCATCTGGTAAGTCAGAGCTGATGTTACCATTTCTTTTTCTTTTTTTGTGATTGTTTCCTTACACTTGTATTCTTACTGTGCCTGTCAATCAAAAATGAATATTTGAAAGCAGTGCTATGTATCCTTTTTACTATTAGATGTTTCAATAGTTTTTAGATTACTTTTAAGGGAAAAGTCCATCGTGAAGAGTATAAAATTAAAGTCATATTAGATATTCTTAAGAATGGAGAAAAACAATTTTTCCTCAGTCTTTCAGGGCTAAGGTTGCAGCTGAATTACTGTGCTTATACATCCAAATCCTCCAATCAGGAGGTCTGGAGACACACTATCTATAACGCTACCGCTTCTTTTGAGAACGCAAGCGGGATCATTCTTGAGGAGAAAAGACAATGCAGAAAGAACCATGTCCTGTCAATACCACCTAAGGAGTCCTTCTGCTGCGCATTTGCAACTGGTCTTGTCTATCTTGCACTGGCCGTTTTAGCCACCAGCGCGCTTGTAGCAAGTGTGGGTAGAGCCCTTCCCAAATCTTCATTAGTGAAGCCCAGCCATGACATCCAAAGAATTCTCTATCTTACCTTTGCTCTTTTCTCTTTCTGTTAAAGATTTCTAGAGGATTTTCATTCTCGTGCAGTATGCAATCAAATGTTTGAGTCTGTTTTGATGTTTTTGGAATTTTTTTGAAATATATGCATAGAGAAATTATAGAACTGCCTGTAGTTAAGTAATAAGTTTATGAACTGTATTCTAATGTTTTTATGACACCACACAGAAAAAGCAGTAGAAATTATATTTTTTAAAAAAATCCCTTCCTCTTAAAACCCACATCTTCTTGAAGTGGCTTGTTGGTTAATTGGTTTGTTAGTTTTTTTCCCCATACATTCAGTATTATTCCACTGACGTTTGTTCAAAATTAGCTTTTCCCCAAAGAAATTTGGCTTTTCATCGTTCATCATCCTGAAAAGTAGTCCTGGACAGTTTTTATTTTTGAGCTAGAATCTCTTCATTTTTAATTCCAGGTCATATTCTGGATAACAGCACAAAAGACCATAAGTTTGTATTTAGTAACCTTGTGCCGTTTACAACATACGATGTGTACGTCGGTGCTGAAACAAGTGCTGGGGTGGGGCCAAAGACTAACCTTACAGTTTTCACTCCTCCAGATGGTAAGTAATCATAGAGAAGCAAAATATATGGACTGAGTGTACATGACAAAGGGTTTCAGTTTTCCCTTCAGAGCCTTTCTCTGGTTTTGTTCGGTTCACACACTGTCACTACATTTATCTGCCTCTCAGAGATTGTGCAAGACATGAATTCTCTTTCTGAATGAAGATGGTTATTTTTAGATACGGTAATTAAGTTGCAGGCCCCCCCTCTTCCCCGTTAGATGGCAGCAAGTGGAAACGAAAAACAGCGCAGGATTTCCCACGGCTGTTCAGCCCTAATGTTTCTGATGAAACCTCTGGTTTGACTAATTCTCACCAAATCAAAGGCTCCATACCAGGGTGAACACCCTGGAACTTACCAGGGAACTTAGCTTTGAGGCAGACCCAACATCGAGGTCTTGTCCTGGTGCAGTCAAATGGTTGGTTCTGCCTGTGAACACTCTACTCTGTGGTTTAGAAGTTTTGGCTCCCAATAGTCAAGTCACCGCATTAGAGTGCTGCATAGAAATGCAGTTTTATCTTAGATGTATGTGAGATTGTGCAGGATTTTTTGTCAGCATCTGAGGATGCAAACAGAAAAAACCAAGATTCAGTGTGTGATGGGCAGTTTCAAGATAGTTATTTCTGTCTTATGTTTATGCCACACAACACAAATTTAGAATATCTCTCAATCAGTGATTTCTGGCAATGTTTGTTGTCAAGGTATAACACTGGGAGGAACACCTATCCTTATTTATTTTATTATTTCCTGAAGTAGCTGCTTTTGGCAGCTCTCAGAGACAATTTCCAGAGGTAGCATGCCTGAGTACAGTCCTCCTCATCTTGTGTCAAAATGCGCTGTCAAAAGCCAAAGGAAATTTTGGTGGGTTTGATATTTCTTTTAGTGTAACATATAATTTCCTATCTTAATGCCGAATCTACAAATCCTCATTATGCAAGTAATTTCAAGATTGTGTTTTACTGAAGTGTATGAAATCTGAATATCATTCTATTGAATAGAAATGTATTTTGTCTCTGGAAGTCCTATGGAAAGTACAGTATCATTAAGACTAAATAGTTAATGAAGAAATCAAACCAAAACCTGTTATAAAAGAGAAATGAACTAGATGTTTTACGTTAATTTTTTTCAAGCTGTTTACTTGTATGGTTTTAATAATTTTAAAACTAACCTTTCATTTTCAAATATACTTCAGATTCCATATAGGAAGACAGCAAAGATCTGCTTGATTCCAATACACTGACTTCAGCAGAGCCATCCTGATTTACATCATCTTAGTGTCTGACCATATGCATACATATATCATATATGTTAAAAAAACCCATGCATATTTTTAGAACTGTAACTTGTTTGCTAAGAAAATATGTGAAGTAACTCTCTACCTGCACAGGATCAACTCAAAAGTAAAGGATGTGAAATTTGACTAGATGCCTGTTGTGCCTTGCATGCAGGACTGAAAAAGCTTGTAATAACCACAGGTGTTTAATCAAATCAATTTTCTTCTTTAATATTTAGTCCCAGGTGCTGTATCAGATTTACACTTAGCAGAAGTGGAAGCCACATATATAAAAATCGTTTGGAGGAAGCCACGACAACCAAATGGAATCATTACCCAGTACAGAGTTAAAGTACATGTGCAGAAAACACTCATGACTCTGGAAAACATTATTCTTGGAGATAAAAATACGGTATTCTTTTTTTTAACATGGATTTTTTTTTTGTTAGATTAAATTTGCTCTCTGCCTTATCTGATAGTTATAGAATGTGGAATTAGCCACCACAGATGAGTTGTTAAGGCTTTTAAAAGCCACCTTCCTTATTCCACTCTCTCTGACTGGGTTTCAAAAAGATTCTCATAATGCTCTCACCATAACATGAAAAAAAAATAATTCTGGCAGAATCATCCAGACTGTCTTAGCTACTGAAGGCAGGAAGCCATAGCCTACAGTCTTGTCCTTCTGAGTCCTTGAGTTCTTTTCTGCATAGGGTGACCTAACTGTAAGAGTTAGGTGCCTAGATTGATATACAACCTGTAAGAGTTGCCTAGACTGATACACATATTTATGTGCCTAGATTGATACACAGCCACTCAGCAAAACCTCTAGAAGATGTGGGTGTGAATCCTGTGCAGAAGTGAATTCAGCAGAAGTGTCACAAGTGTTCTACTAACAAGGCAGACACACCTAGACTTTCTGCCTCCATTTGCATCCTTAAATTTACATGTGTGATACTACATGCTGAACTCCATGCTGTGGTTGCTTACTAAGGATATCTGCATGCATCTATGGAGACTCACGCTGTCAATCAGTCCAGCTTCTGGATTTTGAGTGCTGATGTGCTTTACAGTCTTAGAGGAGAAGCTCTGAGTACACAGCACAGAAGCGCAGACTCCTAGTAAACATTCAGCTCAGGATTGAGTTCTTTCTGAGGTAGGGCTTTTTGGTTTGAATTTTCAGTATAGGTGGCCAAAGTTTGCATAATTCCTTTTTTTATTTCAGACAATGATGTCTTTCACTGGATCTGAATCGGAATCTAAGTTTTTGATGTAGAGCTCAATGAAGGAGTTCACTTTCAAGTTGAATGATATACATTATATAGAGCCCTGGAGGCAAACATTAAGTAAAGAGTAAGGGGAAAAAAAAATTGGGATAAGGATCCATTCATTAAACCAGACAGGCGTCCTTGGAAAATTAAGTATGTAACTTTATAATTAAAGATTGTATCATAGTACAGACACAGAAAAATTAGAATTGTCTGCACAGAAATATTTCAATGATGGAATTTCCTAGTTTCTGAGTTCTTAGTATAGCATCATTGCTGCTTTATTATAGTTTATTGAATTTTCTAGTTAAAAAAGCAAATAATAATAAATCTTTCTTTATTTAGAACCCCATTGACCAAATCTTAGAGCATCTATGGGATTTGAACTGTCAGATCCACAGTGCTAATTATACTCAATAACTAGTAGCAATAAAATGTTGTCTTATATGTGGAAAACACTTATAAGCAAAAAGTATCTCAATGTGAGTTACTACTTTGCTATAAAAAGCTGGTGAAGATGAGTCATATGTTGCTTTTACCTCTTGATACTTAGGTGAGATTGATGCTGTATCTCTGCCTGTGGCTAATGCACCCCTAGTTAAAGGAGTAAAAAAGCTGCTTTGCCATCTCTCCACCCAGAGTCCATAGGGAAAGGACTAATGCGTATTAGTTACGTCACTGTAAAACCATCTCTTTCTGGCTATGAGGTGGCTCATATATGTGAGTGGGGAGTGCTCCAGATGGCAGCAGAACAATTTAGGGACACTGGAGTCCTGGATTTGGTCCCAGATTCTGAAGGGATAATGATTTGGTGCTTACACACCATTTTACACACCTATGTTCCAGACTCTCTCTTTTCTATTATGCTTTAGTTTATCCTCTCCTTTCTGTTCTTGATCCCCTTATATCTGCTGCCATCCCTTTCCAACATTGGTTCCCTGTCCCTTCTCTCCTATGGGAGTCTATATCACTTACCTTCCTTTCACTCTTCCTTTTTACATACTCCCTAAATTTCCCCTCCCCTCCAATTAATTAGCTTCTGTTTTTCTTCCTCTCTACTTATCACATCTTAGTGACTTAGTCAACCTGTTAATCCTTTTCTTCAGGGCCTGGTAGGGATACCTAAAGTCCTCTTGCTTTCATTGCCTGCTACTCTCTTTCAGAACATGCTTAATACAAATTTAATCTCCCAAGTTCAAATGTGTATCTGTTCACTATAGCTCCAAGGATACAGCATGACAGTAAAAGGCCTTACTCTAAAATTGCCACCTTACTATAATATCCATATTTTAAGAAATAAAAAAAAGTGGTTATTGATTAAACAGTAATCAGAATAAAAGGTTGTAGGCTACTGGAAACTGAGCTTTTTTATTATAAAGATTGCATTTTGCAATGTTAATTACTGTAGCGAATGATAAGGTTTGTATGCCAGCATTTATATAGTATGCTTATATATATATGCACAGATATACAAACACTATTTCTATATTATATATAAAATTAATTATATAATTTAATGATGACAAGATTTGTGATTTACTTTTGTATTTCTAATTTTTAGTATTTGATTGATTCTTTGGAGCCATACACAATAAATGAGAACATAAACCCTTCTTCTCCCACTTGGAATTCATTGGAAACAGCCAATGATTTATATGAAGGTTCAGCTGAAATGTTTTCCAGCATTCAGACAGCTTCCCCAGTAATATTTACAAGTGTATCTGGTGATAATTTGCCTGCTATAAATGGAGCTGCAGAATTACATTCTGCTTTGGGTAAGGTATTTTAGGATATTTTTCTACCTGTTTCTTTGTTCTGAAGGACCCTCATCACTGTCCCAGATATGATCTCTAGCACATGGTTCAAGCAAATTATAAATGGGTCATTGGCTGGAGTCAGATTTTTTTACTACCAAATAACCTTCTGAAGCAAATGAGAATGCCACACAGGCAGGAACTAGCCCCTTGTCACCCAGCTGACCTTCTTCCTAGTGAAAGAAGCACCCGAAAGCCATCAGCCAAGCTGCATAGACAATCAGTTATTACAGTTGCCAAAGCAGGTGTGATTGTCAGGGATTAACATATCTCCAAGCCCTTCAGAGACCTTGATTTCTCTAAGCTGTTTGACTAATAGGTTTTCAAATGTCAGTGAAGGTAAATAGGTCAAAAAGTTACAACTTTGCTATATGGGTTACAAACAGGTGGAGATGACCCCATGACATGGTGATGTCATTAGTGAGTACACTTGTTCTGTATTATCAATGGGCCACTGTTTCTTTTCCAAGTATGGATATTTACATGCAGGCTTCAGCTGACAGGCAGGGATTTCAAATACCTCTCTAAATTTTTACGGTGTTTGAACAGTGGAGAGAAACTAAAGTTGTTTTTTTTTTTTTAAGTTTTAAATTAATTTAATGAAGTCACTGAATTTCTCTATATACACCAGTATCTAATACCAGAATTCAATCCATTACTTTAAACTACAGTGGTTATTTTCTGTACTTAGTTAATCCTGAAGAATCTTCCTTGTTATACACAGAAAACATACAGTGTTTTAAATGAAAATCTTCTTTTTATGGCCTCATTCATCTTGAGGTATTGAGTTGCTTAAAGATGTCTGTGTTGCTGAAAAATTGATTTCAGGCAATGTCTGTTGTGATCCAGCATAAGAGTATTATTTTATAGGAGTTACAGTAGTTAAAGCTGTTGACAGCCAGATTTTCTTCAGGGTCTGCTTATTTTTCAATGCCTTCACAAAACTCTGAGCCTGATACGCAGATATGAGAAGGACCCACACTTTTTCATTTGCACTGGCATAATGACTGCTTTATAACAAATGATTTTGGCTATCACAGTTGGATTGTGACTGACTTTGAACTTTATTGGAGATGCACCAAAAAACTCTTTGTGGGCATACATGTCTTCTTCATTCTGCTGACCACAACTCTTTTGCTAAAAATCTCGTTGTTAAGGGGTCTGTGAAGGCAGCCTTTCCAAGTATGGTTCATTTAGCACCATTGGGAGGGGGAGGGCAAGGAAGAGGAAGTCTATCTTTCTCAATTTAAAATATTTTAAAAACCTCAAAAATTTTATCAATCCAGAAGCCATGGTTCTGAAATCACTGGAGAGACTAGGCCATATACAAAGCTACCTTTTCCTAGTTTCTGGGGGATTTCTCACAAACCTCATAATTCTGCTTGTGGCCTATTCATTCTTTTACCTAGACCAATCTATCTGTTGTACACATGAAAATGGACCTATAATAGACTCTCCTTTGTGTAGTTAAGAGATGGAGTGTAGACTTTTCTTTATATTTCTGTAATTGCCATGAAAGTTAATTATTTTGCAATGAAACAGTTGCAGGTTGCCCTGCCAAAGTGAGTTCAGAATGCATAAGAAAAAAAATGAGTTTATGAGTAAGTAGCTATTTCTCTCCATTTACTCACAGATAATCAGTATACCATCAACATTTTGGCTGAAGAGCTGTCATATGTTATAAAGAGCCTCACACCTTTCACAGATTACACAATTAGTGTGTCTGCTTTCACTGCTGTTGGAGAAGGACCACCATCAGTTCTTACGGTCAGGACATGCGAACAAGGTAAAGTTTTGTAACTCTGATATTATCAAGGCTAACATACATGACTTTTTTCACTGAACATTTGAATTATTTTTTAGTAATTTATTTGCTTATCATTATATTTTTATGTTTTTTGTTGCAGTTCCAAGCTCAGTACAAAATATATCTTACAAGAATATTAGCTCCTCCTCTGTTTTGCTGTATTGGGATCCTCCAGCAAATCCCAATGGGAAAATCATCCATTATACAGTTTATGCAATGGAACTGGACACAAAAAGAGCATTCCACACAACAACTTCAAACAACAGCTTACTTATGACAGGTATACTGTCATTTTATTAAAAAAAAATTAAAATTTAAACTTGCAAATACATTATACAAAATTAATTTTTCCAACTTTATATAATATAGCCATTTGCAAAGTAGATGGATCAAGTCTTACATATTCACACACATCCACACGCACACAACATAACTGCACGTAAAAACAAGGTTGGTACACTACTGTTAGAGCTGTCTACTGTGGAGAAAAAAGTAGGGAATATGAGATGGGAGCAGAGGGAGAAGATAAGCAGTAATTTGAGAAATGGTATGAGTAGTAATTTGTGAAATGGATTTCTCCTTGGAATTTTCGCCTAAGCATCTTCTGTCCACATAGAAAAATATTCCTAAATTGTCTATTATTTTTTAGACTTGAATTTTTTTCACAGTATTTGTCTAACATTAATAATAATTTTCTTATTTTAAGGTGATAATTTTTATAGTAATTGAAGTAAACCCATTCTTAATAGGGTTTCAGACACTTATTTGTGCTAATCAGAGTAATGCATATAGAATAAATCCACATATTTGGATGTATGTATACGCATCCTTTATTTTGACAAATAAATTCTTTAAGCTAGTTACAGGGTTAAAGTTAGTTGACTTATTTCAAAGTCTGTTGGTTTAACTGCATGCCTACTTGACTGTCCCCACATAAATGGTATTATATGTATTCTATCTTTTAGGTAACAAATGTGCATCAAAAAATCTTAGAACAGTATTCAGTTTTATAGTTTCATAAGTAGCTACGACAAAATAAATATGTTTAAGAAGTAAACAGTCAAGATTTTTTTACTTAATCTTTTCAGGCTTAAAAAAGTACACAAATTATAGAATGAGAGTGGCAGCCTCTACTGCAATTGGAGAAAGTGCTTTGTCTGAAAAGAATGATGTTTTTGTGAGAACCCCTGAAGATGGTAAGTACATTGATTGCAATGATGATTTGTCTTCTGTACTGAAGTTTGCATTTGTTTAGAAAGAAGACCGGGCATGTACATAAAGGGAAAAGAAAGTGCAGAAATAAAATCAATGTTTGTTGAAATTATTAATCTTCTATCAGTCGGTGACTTCATTCAGACCGTTTTTAGGTAAGTGCTGAAAATAATAACGAAAGCTGCAGGAATCAACGAATTTCAGTTGTGATCGACAAATGGAAGGAAAGCTGCAGAGCTGAGCTTGCCTCACTGAAACTGTGTCCCTAGCACCCACCTAAACTGTAATATTTGTGACTTCATCTTATTTTCTTTTTCTTTTTATGTTATCATGTGGAAATCAGGTTGGTTTTGAAGCATCTGAACATGGCACCTTCCACTATTCATAGGCCATGTTGCTATCTGTAAGCAGAGATGCTAATGAAGTGAAGATTTTTTACACTGAATGATATTATAGGCAATTGTTTCTGTAGAGTTTTGGGGGCTTTATTAATTTTAAGACTGATCAATAGTTCTAGCATAGTGTTTAATGCTACTGTTTGAAGATTTCTGGATCTTCCTTAATTGCTTGCAAGGCAGTCTCATCCCATGAAGGCCCTGGGACTGTAGCTGAAGTTGTCATTGGCTTCTGCAAAGAAAACACATGAACTTGATTTACAGAGTCATGAGTATTAATCTTTTCTCATTTGTATCAGGTTTGCTTTTTCACTTGTTTCAGCAAAGTTATTTCTAATTTTTACCAAAGTAATACAAAAGGTGATTTTCCATTTGTCATTTATCTCTCTCCTTGAAAAATATACTATAATACAAGAAAATTAATTGAGTGCCAATAAAAGAGAGGAAAGGATTATGGGATTAAAAATCATGGGGATTTATGAAGTTTAGATGATTTGAATAACCACTCAAAATATCAAGTTCAACACTGAAACTTAAAGTACTTCCAAATATTTTTTAAAGTTGCATGCTTCTATGCTATTAGTTTTGCAGTGGAAATGTATATCACAAGAACAGAAAATCACTTATCTAAATATTTTTTTCTCTGAAAGTTTACAATTCCTTTGCCTCTGAGTCTTAAAGAAATTTTTCAAAGTAGAGTTTCAGGCCAACAGTTCATCCATTTGTAAGAGAGATGTGTAAGGCTTGAGGAAACTAATGAGAAAACCAACAATAATTCCTGCCTTTTTTATGAGGCTATGCATAATTATTTGTCTTCTCCTTCTTGTTCTTTAGTTTTCCTGAGGTAATTCAGGCTGAGATTCGCGTCTCCTAACCAACCCCGGACTGACAATTTGTTTGATTCTTGAAAAGATAGATACCTCCAAATAAAAGATTCTCTACAACAGTTTTAGATAACCTGTGTTAGGATTGAAGGTGCTGTTGCATTGAAATATTGTACCATGCCAGATAAATTGGAAAATGTATTTAAATTAAAAATTAAGCTTCTTCACATGGGAAATATCCATGTGGGCAGTCTTGTCATCCAGAGAACAGTGATCTGTTACAGTTAACACTTTCCATTCATGCTCTCAGAAATCAGAAATGAAAGTGGTTTGTGAGACCTTTCAGGCAAAAAAAAAATTCATGATAAATTCTGAAATATCAGCATATAGGTAATTCGTATGCAAACTGAATCCTATAATCCTGGGTTTGTAGTATTTTTTTTTTTTTTTAATTTTATAGACAGGTTATCTCAGGGGTGAAGTGATGGAGCCTTCAGAGGAATCAAAGTTGACATTCAGAGTTGATTTTATTTGTAAGTGCAGCCCACTCACTCCTTCCATGCTTCCATGCTTTATTAGCTTGCTGGAGCCACATGAACTCATACATTGCCAGTAGATTTAGCCAACACACTATCCCAGAGCTGGACTTGTTTTGTGCATGACCTTCACACCAAGATTTACACCAGGGTCACAAAAGGGAATTTAGTTACAGCGCATACAGTCCCTTTTGTTGTTCAATAGTTGATTGAGTGAAATAAGAAGGGTGGCTATTTATGTAGAAAGCAGTAAGAGGGCATGAATCTAAATTTAAAGAACTGAATATGAGGAAGACAATGAGAGAATCTGAAGGATCAGTCTGCATGAGATCAGTAGAGAGAAGAGATTTTTTTTCCTAAAAAATGCAGTTTTAGATAGATTTAAAAGTGGATGAGAAAAGAAATTCTTGAAAAGCAAAAGTGTTGTGACTCAGAAAGACACCTGGTTTTATTAGTGGAAAAGAAGACATACTGAAATTAACTGAGATAAAAAGTGGTAAGGCTTTGAGGAGAGTGAGAGAGTGAGTGTAGTCCTTTTGGTACAATTAGCTAATTTAAATGTTATGATCCAATAGGTTTATGCTATTAGCCCTATATTCAGTTAATTTAAAGGGCTTTTTCCTGATTTCTGTATTGCAGAACCAGATTCCCCACCTCGAAACATAGAATTAATAAATGTAAGTGCAACAGAAATAAATCTGAAATGGTTACCACCTGAGCAGCCTAATGGTCTCATAACTCACTATGAAGTTCTGTACAGTGATTCTAATGATTTTTCTATTAAAAATGCCTCATCTACAAGTATATCACTGAGTGAAATGAAGCCATATACTCTCTACAATATTTCTGTAAGGGCATTCACCAGACTTGGTCATGGGAATCAGTCATCTTTCCCACTTCTGGTCAGAACTTCTGAAACTGGTGAGTATATTATATTTTTTTTAAAATGAAAATTTTCCTGAATAAACTGCTTTATGATAACCTTTGATGCCCAGGAGATAAGAATAATTAGTTTTAGAAGTACTTGATTGCTTTGCAAAGCAGTAAGTTTGAATCCTGTTTTTTTCTCTTTCATAAACCAAGCAAAACAGCAAGGCCAGCTGCTATATAAGGGATGGGGAGCCAACGCTTCACATGTATGAGACAGGTCTGAGGTCAAGGCAGGTCTGAGGTCAAGCCAGGAAAGAAAGTTAGCAGGTGCAGTGGCACTAAGTCAGACACAGTTCAGTGACAGCTGGGCAGGTCTGTAATGGTGGAACCAACCCGAGGCCAGACTGCAATGTCAGTCTGCAAGTCAGGGAACTGATCAGTGGGTCCATGGCCAAGCGCAGCCATGACAGCGATGAAGCAGGAGCTGTAGCTCAAACAGGGGCAAAGCACAAGAGCCACCTCTGAAAGCAGCTCCCAGAGGCCAGTGGTCAGCCCCAGCTGCAGCCTCCCCGCAGCATTGCCTGGGAGCCTCTCATAAGGAAGGAGGAGGCAGCCTTTGACACTATTGCTAAGCTGGCCCTGAGCCCCAACAGCCAAACCTCTGAGAGGACATGCTTTCAGGGCTCTTACAGCAGGCTTCCTTTTTTTCATACAAGGGTTTATACTGTTTGTATAGATGACCCAGGCAAAAGAAATAAAATGCATGTTCATGATGCAAGGTGTTAATTGTGGCAGCACAACATGGAAAACCTCATAACAATAGCTAACATGAAGAATTGCAGGGATAGTTCTGGAGCATTAGAAGGAAAGTTTAGTGTCATGCTCCAGATTTTTTTAATCTCTCATATTAGGATGATTTCTATCAATTATTTTTTTAAATGACCTTGTTGTTATGATGTCTGTCTGTTATGTGTTTTTGATCTTCCAATTCAGCCTCTTCTAAAATGTATTTTATACAAAAAAATATAATACAAGTCTAAAGGTTTGCAATGTTTCTTTTAAACCACTTTGCAGAAATTCTTCACAAATCAATGAAACTAACTGAAATCTTGTATGAATATATTTTTTTTTCTTCTAGTTCCTGATTCTGCACCAGAAAATATAACCTATAGGAACATTTCATCCATGGAAATTGAATTATCATTTTTTCCACCGTCCATTCCCAATGGAATTATACAGGCCTACACAATATATCTCAACAGGACTAATGGGATTGAGCAAAAAGTTATAAACACTACTTTTCTGACATTACGTATTACAGGTCAGCATATAATGGTCTGGAACTTATGACAACTGTAAATTGTTCTGGGAAGTGTTCAACAGACAGATTGAGATAAATTAGTTCATTGGTTGGACATGATCTTGCTTGTCCTTATATAAAGTTTTTTGCTGCCTGTCTGAGAAATAACCCACTATGTAATGTGGTGAAATGGGCCATGAATGATATAAAGTCTAACGTATATCCATTCTATTTTAGATGTTTAAACTGCAAGGAACTTCAATAGATATCTTTGCAGATCTATCATTGTAACGAAGTAAACCCTCACGTCACCAACATATCTTTCTGATCTTAATTTGGGTAAAAATACTGGACAAAAAATTCTGGATAAAAACCTTCCCTTTCCACTCACCTTTGCTTCTTTTTCTAAGTTCTGTCACTATTGCTGAGGCATGATGCAGCAGTTAATGCTGGGAGCTTAATATCTTAACCACTACATTTTCAGAGTACAACCAAGAACAAACTGAAAAGCATTCTAGGAATATGAAGTATAAACTGGTAATTAGAGCTTTGTCCCTGCTTTTGCAAAATACTTTGTGTTCAAACTTTCTTAATGCTTATTTCCATCTCTAATGACATAGGTCAGTGTAAGTGATAGGCCTACTCAGCACTTCAAAAATACTTATGGTCCATTAAAAAACTGATTTGTTCCACTGAATGGTTGGTTCATTGAATTATTCTTTTTTATTTAGATTTAAATAAATATACAGAATATACTGTAGAAGTGTCTGCTAGTACCAGAATGGGGGAGGGCCTTCGTAGTTCACCTCTGCATATACTAACTGATGAAGACGGTAAGTCAGAACAGAAGTTGCAATGTATTCTTGTCTGCCTGTATTCTGAAATTACTCTTACACTTCATGTCAGTTATGTTTAAGTCCTGTGCACTTTTTTGGCAGTTATATCTCTCTATGGCTATCTGTGTCAGTCTATCTACACACGAACATACTTTATGCCTCTCTCTCTCTCNATCACTGGAGAGACTAGGCCATATACAAAGCTACCTTTTCCTAGTTTCTGGGGGATTTCTCACAAACCTCATAATTCTGCTTGTGGCCTATTCATAAATGGACCTATAATAGACTCTCCTTTGTGTAGTTAAGAGATGGAGTGTAGACTTTTCTTTATATTTCTGTAATTGCCATGAAAGTTAATTATTTTGCAATGAAACAGTTGCAGGTTGCCCTGCCAAAGTGAGTTCAGAATGCATAAGAAAAAAAATGAGTTTATGAGTAAGTAGCTATTTCTCTCCATTTACTCACAGATAATCAGTATACCATCAACATTTTGGCTGAAGAGCTGTCATATGTTATAAAGAGCCTCACACCTTTCACAGATTACACAATTAGTGTGTCTGCTTTCACTGCTGTTGGAGAAGGACCACCATCAGTTCTTACGGTCAGGACATGCGAACAAGGTAAAGTTTTGTAACTCTGATATTATCAAGGCTAACATACATGACTTTTTTCACTGAACATTTGAATTATTTTTTAGTAATTTATTTGCTTATCATTATATTTTTATGTTTTTTGTTGCAGTTCCAAGCTCAGTACAAAATATATCTTACAAGAATATTAGCTCCTCCTCTGTTTTGCTGTATTGGGATCCTCCAGCAAATCCCAATGGGAAAATCATCCATTATACAGTTTATGCAATGGAACTGGACACAAAAAGAGCATTCCACACAACAACTTCAAACAACAGCTTACTTATGACAGGTATAGTGTCATTTTATTAAAAAAAAAATAAAATTTAAACTTGCAAATACATTATACAAAATTAATTTTTCCAACTTTATATAATATAGCCATTTGCAAAGTAGATGGATCAAGTCTTACATATTCACACACATCCACACACACACAACATAACTGCACGTAAAAACAAGGTTGGTACACTACTGTTAGAGCTGTCTACTGTGGAGAAAAAAGTAGGGAATATGAGATGGGAGCAGAGGGAGAAGATAAGCAGTAATTTGAGAAATGGTATGAGTAGTAATTTGTGAAATGGATTTCTCCTTGGAATTTTCGCCTAAGCATCTTCTGTCCACATAGAAAAATATTCCTAAATTGTCTATTATTTTTTAGACTTGAATTTTTTTCACAGTATTTGTCTAACATTAATAATAATTTTCTTATTTTAAGGTGATAATTTTTATAGTAATTGAAGTAAACCCATTCTTAATAGGGTTTCAGACACTTATTTGTGCTAATCAGAGTAATGCATATAGAATAAATCCACATATTTGGATGTATGTATACGCATCCTTTATTTTGACAAATAAATTCTTTAAGCTAGTTACAGGGTTAAAGTTAGTTGACTTATTTCAAAGTCTGTTGGTTTAACTGCATGCCTACTTGACTGTCCCCACATAAATGGTATTATATGTATTCTATCTTTTAGGTAACAAATGTGCATCAAAAAATCTTAGAACAGTATTCAGTTTTATAGTTTCATAAGTAGCTACGACAAAATAAATATGTTTAAGAAGTAAACAGTCAAGATTTTTTTACTTAATCTTTTCAGGCTTAAAAAAGTACACAAATTATAGAATGAGAGTGGCAGCCTCTACTGCAATTGGAGAAAGTGCTTTGTCTGAAAAGAATGATGTTTTTGTGAGAACCCCTGAAGATGGTAAGTACATTGATTGCAATGATGATTTGTCTTCTGTACTGAAGTTTGCATTTGTTTAGAAAGAAGACCGGGCATGTACATAAAGGGAAAAGAAAGTGCAGAAATAAAATCAATGTTTGTTGAAATTATTAATCTTCTATCAGTCGGTGACTTCATTCAGACCGTTTTTAGGTAAGTGCTGAAAATAATAACGAAAGCTGCAGGAATCAACGAATTTCAGTTGTGATCGACAAATGGAAGGAAAGCTGCAGAGCTGAGCTTGCCTCACTGAAACCGTGTCCCTAGCACACACCTAAACTGTAATATTTGTGACTTCATCTTATTTTCTTTTTCTTTTTATGTTATCATGTGGAAATCAGGTTGGTTTTGAAGCATCTGAACATGGCACCTTCCACTATTCATAGGCCATGTTGCTATCTGTAAGCAGAGATGCTAATGAAGTGAAGATTTTTTACACTGAATGATATTATAGGCAATTGTTTCTGTAGAGTTTTGGGGGCTTTATTAATTTTAAGACTGATCAATAGTTCTAGCATAGTGTTTAATGCTACTGTTTGAAGATTTCTGGATCTTCCTTAATTGCTTGCAAGGCAGTCTCATCCCATGAAGGCCCTGGGACTGTAGCTGAAGTTGTCATTGGCTTCTGCAAAGAAAACACATGAACTTGATTTACAGAGTCATGAGTATTAATCTTTTCTCATTTGTATCAGGTTTGCTTTTTCACTTGTTTCAGCAAAGTTATTTCTAATTTTTACCAAAGTAATACAAAAGGTGATTTTCCATTTGTCATTTATCTCTCTCCTTGAAAAATATACTATAATACAAGAAAATTAATTGAGTGCCAATAAAAGAGAGGAAAGGATTATGGGATTAAAAATCATGGGGATTTATGAAGTTTAGATGATTTGAATAACCACTCAAAATATCAAGTTCAACACTGAAACTTAAAGTACTTCCAAATATTTTTTAAAGTTGCATGCTTCTATGCTATTAGTTTTGCAGTGGAAATGTATATCACAAGAACAGAAAATCACTTATCTAAATATTTTTTTCTCTGAAAGTTTACAATTCCTTTGCCTCTGAGTCTTAAAGAAATTTTTCAAAGTAGAGTTTCAGGCCAACAGTTCATCCATTTGTAAGAGAGATGTGTAAGGCTTGAGGAAACTAATGAGAAAACCAACAATAATTCCTGCCTTTTTTATGAGGCTATGCATAATTATTTGTCTTCTCCTTCTTGTTCTTTAGTTTTCCTGAGGTAATTCAGGCTGAGATTCGCGTCTCCTAACCAACCCCGGACTGACAATTTGTTTGATTCTTGAAAAGATAGATACCTCCAAATAAAAGATTCTCTACAACAGTTTTAGATAACCTGTGTTAGGATTGAAGGTGCTGTTGCATTGAAATATTGTACCATGCCAGATAAATTGGAAAATGTATTTAAATTAAAAATTAAGCTTCTTCACATGGGAAATATCCATGTGGGCAGTCTTGTCATCCAGAGAACAGTGATCTGTTACAGTTAACACTTTCCATTCATGCTCTCAGAAATCAGAAATGAAAGTGGTTTGTGAGACCTTTCAGGCAAAAAAAAAATTCATGATAAATTCTGAAATATCAGCATATAGGTAATTCGTATGCAAACTGAATCCTATAATCCTGGGTTTGTAGTATTTTTTTTTTTTTTTAATTTTATAGACAGGTTATCTCAGGGGTGAAGTGATGGAGCCTTCAGAGGAATCAAAGTTGACATTCAGAGTTGATTTTATTTGTAAGTGCAGCCCACTCACTCCTTCCATGCTTCCATGCTTTATTAGCTTGCTGGAGCCACATGAACTCATACATTGCCAGTAGATTTAGCCAACACACTATCCCAGAGCTGGACTTGTTTTGTGCATGACCTTCACACCAAGATTTACACCAGGGTCACAAAAGGGAATTTAGTTACAGTGCATACAGTCCCTTTTGTTGTTCAATAGTTGATTGAGTGAAATAAGAAGGGTGGCTATTTATGTAGAAAGCAGTAAGAGGGCATGAATCTAAATTTAAAGAACTGAATATGAGGAAGACAATGAGAGAATCTGAAGGATCAGTCTGCATGAGATCAGTAGAGAGAAGAGATTTTTTTTCCTAAAAAATGCAGTTTTAGATAGATTTAAAAGTGGATGAGAAAAGAAATTCTTGAAAAGCAAAAGTGTTGTGACTCAGAAAGACACCTGGTTTTATTAGTGGAAAAGAAGACATACTGAAATTAACTGAGATAAAAAGTGGTAAGGCTTTGAGGAGAGTGAGAGAGTGAGTGTAGTCCTTTTGGTACAATTAGCTAATTTAAATGTTATGATCCAATAGGTTTATGCTATTAGCCCTATATTCAGTTAATTTAAAGGGCTTTTTCCTGATTTCTGTATTGCAGAACCAGATTCCCCACCTCGAAACATAGAATTAATAAATGTAAGTGCAACAGAAATAAATCTGAAATGGTTACCACCTGAGCAGCCTAATGGTCTCATAACTCACTATGAAGTTCTGTACAGTGATTCCAATGATTTTTCTATTAAAAATGCCTCATCTACAAGTATATCACTGAGTGAAATGAAGCCATATACTCTCTACAATATTTCTGTAAGGGCATTCACCAGACTTGGTCATGGGAATCAGTCATCTTTCCCACTTCTGGTCAGAACTTCTGAAACTGGTGAGTATATTATATTTTTTTTAAAATGAAAATTTTCCTGAATAAACTGCTTTATGATAACCTTTGATGCCCAGGAGATAAGAATAATTAGTTTTAGAAGTACTTGATTGCTTTGCAAAGCAGTAAGTTTGAATCCTGTTTTTTTCTCTTTCATAAACCAAGCAAAACAGCAAGGCCAGCTGCTATATAAGGGATGGGGAGCCAACGCTTCACATGTATGAGACAGGTCTGAGGTCAAGGCAGGTCTGAGGTCAAGCCAGGAAAGAAAGTTAGCAGGTGCAGTGGCACTAAGTCAGACACAGTTCAGTGACAGCTGGGCAGGTCTGTAATGGTGGAACCAACCCGAGGCCAGACTGCAATGTCAGTCTGCAAGTCAGGGAACTGATCAGTGGGTCCATGGCCAAGCGCAGCCATGACAGCGATGAAGCAGGAGCTGTAGCTCAAACAGGGGCAAAGCACAAGAGCCACCTCTGAAAGCAGCTCCCAGAGGCCAGTGGTCAGCCCCAGCTGCAGCCTCCCCGCAGCATTGCCTGGGAGCCTCTCATAAGGAAGGAGGAGGCAGCCTTTGACACTATTGCTAAGCTGGCCCTGAGCCCCAACAGCCAAACCTCTGAGAGGACATGCTTTCAGGGCTCTTACAGCAGGCTTCCTTTTTTTCATACAAGGGTTTATATTGTTTGTATAGATGACCCAGGCAAAAGAAATAAAATGCATGTTCATGATGCAAGGTGTTAATTGTGGCAGCACAACATGGAAAACCTCATAACAATAGCTAACATGAAGAATTGCAGGGATAGTTCTGGAGCATTAGAAGGAAAGTTTAGTGTCATGCTCCAGATTTTTTTAATCTCTCATATTAGGATGATTTCTATCAATTATTTTTTTAAATGACCTTGTTGTTATGATGTCTGTCTGTTATGTGTTTTTGATCTTCCAATTCAGCCTCTTCTAAAATGTATTTTATACAAAAAAATATAATACAAGTCTAAAGGTTTGCAATGTTTCTTTTAAACCACTTTGCAGAAATTCTTCACAAATCAATGAAACTAACTGAAATCTTGTATGAATATATTTTTTTTTCTTCTAGTTCCTGATTCTGCACCAGAAAATATAACCTATAGGAACATTTCATCCATGGAAATTGAATTATCATTTTTTCCACCGTCCATTCCCAATGGAATTATACAGGCCTACACAATATATCTCAACAGGACTAATGGGATTGAGCAAAAAGTTATAAACACTACTTTTCTGACATTACGTATTACAGGTCAGCATATAATGGTCTGGAACTTATGACAACTGTAAATTGTTCTGGGAAGTGTTCAACAGACAGATTGAGATAAATTAGTTCATTGGTTGGACATGATCCTGCTTGTCCTTATATAAAGTTTTTTGCTGCCTGTCTGAGAAATAACCCACTATGTAATGTGGTGAAATGGGCCATGAATGATATAAAGTCTAACGTATATCCATTCTATTTTAGATGTTTAAACTGCAAGGAACTTCAATAGATATCTTTGCAGATCTATCATTGTAACGAAGTAAACCCTCACGTCACCAACATATCTTTCTGATCTTAATTTGGGTAAAAATACTGGACAAAAAATTCTGGATAAAAACCTTCCCTTTCCACTCACCTTTGCTTCTTTTTCTAAGTTCTGTCACTATTGCTGAGGCATGATGCAGCAGTTAATGCTGGGAGCTTAATATCTTAACCACTACATTTTCAGAGTACAACCAAGAACAAACTGAAAAGCATTCTAGGAATATGAAGTATAAACTGGTAATTAGAGCTTTGTCCCTGCTTTTGCAAAATACTTTGTGTTCAAACTTTCTTAATGCTTATTTCCATCTCTAATGACATAGGTCAGTGTAAGTGATAGGCCTACTCAGCACTTCAAAAATACTTATGGTCCATTAAAAAACTGATTTGTTCCACTGAATGGTTGGTTCATTGAATTATTCTTTTTTATTTAGATTTAAATAAATATACAGAATATACTGTAGAAGTGTCTGCTAGTACCAGAATGGGGGAGGGCCTTCGTAGTTCACCTCTGCATATACTAACTGATGAAGACGGTAAGTCAGAACAGAAGTTGCAATGTATTCTTGTCTGCCTGTATTCTGAAATTACTCTTACACTTCATGTCAGTTATGTTTAAGTCCTGTGCACTTTTTTGGCAGTTATATCTCTCTATGGCTATCTGTGTCAGTCTATCTACACACGAACATACTTTATGCCTCTCTCTCTCTCTCTCTCTCCATCTATCAATATACTTACCAGTACAAGCAATGCAAAATGGCACAATTGCTGTGCATGGACATTTGGTCTTACCAATATCTTATGAATTTGAAGAATCTAAATTTACTCATATTATTATAATCTAAGACGCTGCACAGTTGAATTAAATATTGTGTTTGGTTTTTCAGACACATGAGAGCTGAGGAAAGGGAAAATCAGGAAAAGGTAGCTTGAATGGTCCAGGGACATTGATGAGGATTTTTTTCTTTGGCGATTTTTGTATTCTTCTAAACAGATGCGTGTACAGATACACGTAGATACACGTAGAATTATTCACATTATGAAAATGCTCAAAGTCCATAATCTGTAGCACTGGACTCCCAAAATGAGCAGGATAGTGTTCTGCACTGCAGGCTGAGGATAGAACCCATTTGTTGCAACCCCTGCTAATTTGTACAGTAGGTCACAAATCAGCAGAGGAACCTTAGAACTATTTATACTTTCAGTACACAATTTAGTTATAGGAAGTTATCCTTGGTCACCTCTATAGTTTCTGCAGGGGGAATCATGAAAATAAATTCAAAGCAAAAATCTTAAATTAGGTGCTGTGACACATTTTGGAAAAGCCTGTGTCTCTATCCATTGTTTAAAGAGGAAGTCTCTGAGAATCTATACTAAAGTGGCATTGACACAAACGTCCCTCCAGCCATTCCTAGATTAAGTCTCTTTTCATGTTTTAGGAAACACTGATTTGCCTCAAATTCAGCTATTGATGATAATGGATCATTGCATATCTTCAAGATGTTGATGGGCTTACATTCACACTATAAGTAAAAAACATTTGCTCAAGAGTCATGTTGCTGGAGCAGGCTGAAAACAGCTGATCTGGACAAATCTATCTTTTTCACAGAGTAATTTTATACAGAGCAATGTAGTTTCTATTCGTTAGCAAAAAAATATCCTCTGAATAAGAATTGTAGAATGAACTAGACATGCCAAAAAGACATGACATTCACCGTATGACAGATCTTTTATTATATAGTCACTAAGGATAATACAAAAAATAAAACACTAAATACAGCTGTCAAAATTTTTATCTAGTAAATACAGACACTGACTAAATACAGTGAACCTTTGTTCATGAAAAATACAAAATATTTTTTCATAAATGTAAAGAGTTATAAAATCTTTATGCCAATTTTTGAGATAGTGAAAGAAGGAACAAGAACTGAAAAACAACAATATTTATAATACACCACATGTTCCTTATTCACAGGAACACAGTGTTCCAAGGTTCAGACCAAATGTTTCATAGATTTGCTAATAGTTATGCTCATATTCTCCATTTTCATGCATGACTACAGCTATGACCTGAATTTTTAGTGCATGATGCTCTTTGGTTTAATTTGAGAAAAACAAAAGTAATTCTAATATTACTTCATAGCGATACATAGGTCCATGAATCAAGATGAAGAAAAATATTTATTTTTTAATAACATGCTAATACAAAGCAGTATCACTTATGCATACACGGGTATATTTTCCTCAGCAAAACTAATACAAACTTTAGAATGAAATCAAACATGGTCTAATATTTTTGTTTACTTACAATGTTTCCCCACGCAGTCGTGGCATGGTGTCATGTAGAGGTCAACTTAAAATTAATTTTAAGGGTCTCAGTAAATGCCTATCTTTTCATTTGCCACTGTGATATGTTAAATGTATGAATGTGGTCCTTATTTGATGAGTGAATAAATTTTACTGCTACTCAGTATCCCACAATTTTATTGTCTCTCAATGCTATGCTTATCCATTCTTCCACCTTTTGGTGCTTTGTATAATTCTTTACAGCACCTCTTTTTCCTCAGGGGAACTATTATGCTATATTTTACATGTGTTCATACTATAAAGCTTTTGCTTTTATTAGAATGGGGAAAAAATTTACAGCAATATACTTGGACAGTAGGGGAATCACTGTAACCTACCCATTACTCTGTTTTCTCATGAAGTGTTTTTCCCTTGAATCACAGAAACAGATGTTCTAACACCACCATGCAAAATCTTCTTTTATCATCTGTTAGAAAAAGGAAAAGAAGCTGCGCCTTAACATTAGCTGATGGATACTGTCCCAATGTGATACAAAGTTCACTTTCCATCACAAGTAACTAAAAACCTATTTAAGGATGCTGCATATCCCATTGATCTTAACTGTTTAACAAGATGTTGTGTCCTTTTCTCTCATTTTATAGCTCCGAGTTCTCCTCCACAATCCCTCTCTGTAAAACAGTTGTTGGGTGTCACTGTGAAGTTGTCATGGAAACCTCCATTGGAGCCAAATGGAATTATCCTCTATTACACAGTTTATGTCTGGTAAGATTTTCTGGAAGTAGTTCTGAGAATAAATATTAATCTGTAACCCATCAGGAATGTGGGGGTTTTCTTACACAATGTGTTGATTACATGTTTTTGGAGAACGAATATTCATTCAGCACTTACAATACTAGACTTTTGTATATACAAATTTAGAGTAGATGAAAATTGGGGTATTAAATATTTTGTAAACATTTTCCAAAGGTTATATTATAGTAAATGAATTAGATTTTATACTAGAGCATGGTGACTATTTTCATTATATTCTGATTAGACCTACTGCAAGGCAGGGCACAAGCCCATGCTGAATTGTCAAGGAGATTTGAAATAGGCTTAAAACTGAAAAATATTGCCCCTTTTTATAGAAAGTGTGTAAGAACCATGTTCAGAGTCTTTGTATGTGCTATCAGTTATGTCTACTGCTATATTTTGTATTTATTACATTCATAGCAAATGAGTTTTTTTAACAGATATTATTCATTTGCTGTGTTTTGTTTTTTTCTCTTTTCTTTTTTCCTATTTTTTCTCCATCATCCCTCTTGTGATATTTTTTCACCTCTAAAAAGGAATTTTGTCACTTTAAAATTTGCAGCTTCTGTCCTATTCTCTGTATAACATAGTTTGGTCTAGTGATGTGGCATCTCTTCAAAGATCTATCTGTAACTTCTACTAGGATTGAAAATATTTTGTGATTGATAGCTTTTGCTATATTACATTCACGCTGTACCATGTTATTGCCACTACTAAGGTGAAGGAAGTAAATACTGAAGTGCACCTTATAAGATGTGTACCAGATGTGCAAATCCACAGTTGTTATAAACACACTACTAATGAGCTTACATTTATTATTTTATTGTTACTTGGAAGTTTCAAGATAGGGTTTGGCCTCAGTTCCTACTGATTATTTTTTTTTTAATTATAGCTTTTGTTAAGTTGGTGATAAAATGAACAGGAGCGAGCTCTTCTTCCCAGAAAAGTTAAATTTGTCTTCTCTTGTTACTTCTACTGTACTGGCAATGTCTGTTGCTCTTTAATGACAAACCCCATTTAAATTAATTACTGCCCTTGAGCTAGAGAAGAGTTACTTCATAGCCCTTCATAAGGGCTATGGTTTTGATTCAAGCTGTCTTCAAAGACTTGAGGTTATAGAATTTTTCATCCTTATATTCTCTTATAACTTACAGCTTTTGTTATCATGACAAAGGATTTAGCAAGAATTATTTTTTAAAAATACCTCTTAATTGATCCGACTAAATATTTTAATTAAGCAACCATGTAACTTTTTGCAGTAGACCTTGTCCCTCTTAATTCCATATTCTCCTTACTGTCTCTTATTTGTCATACTGTGCCATATCTAAAATTAGAGGGGCTTTAGGTATCATGTTAAGACAAGGACATTGGAGAAAAACTCCCATTGCATTCAAAGGGGTCATAACTTCATTGCTTCCTTGAGGGGGAGGGAGGGGTGGAGGAAGGAGAGGAATTTTAAGTATTTAACAGAATTGTCTATATGATTCCACAAAATGCATTGCAGTGTGAGGTTTGACAAGATAAACTGCTGTGCCATACAGTTGCTGCTTTTGGGAGGTATTCTATGTATTTTGGAGGGGTTGTTAATCCCAGTGCTTCTCAATAAAGCAGAATGATGAAGGTTACTACAGATGTTAAATAAACGTTCCTCCACTTCACTTAAATATTCTGCAACAGTTACAGAGAATTTGGTAACTTTTCTTTAGCTAATCCAGAACAAGTATCTACAACTACTAGAATAGAAAGAGTAACATCTGGAATGTTTTCAGTGTTGTATTTCATGGTATTTGTCACACGGCAAGGTGGTTTTGGGTGCTAGCAGGTAGTAAAGCCTGTGTACCTTGAGCCTACAAACTCATACTGCCTAAGTCTGTAATTCTAGTGTATTAAAGGCATATTTACAAAATTGCCGAATTTTTATATAGCTGTTGTCTTTTGCCATTATCCTTTTCAGCAAACTTCTGTCAGATAATTATTGACTAGATCTACTTTGAGGTAAAGATTTTTAAGAAAATATGGTACCTGTCTTTATCAACTGAAAGTATGTGATTTCTTAGAACCTCTGTTGCCTGCATTTCTGAAAGTTCTGATTTAAAATTTTTTATTATTTTTTCTTCAGTAAAATTCCTTGGCTTAGCTGATTCTGCTATGTACTTTCTTTCTCATTGTCTGCAAAGACTGCACTCACTTTGATCAGTGTTTTCTTATTTTTATGGCAATCTCATTTGTTTCTAAGCAGAAAATCATCTTCTCTTGAAACACCTCAAGCTTTTGTTCTTCTTCCTATGTCTGATTGTTGAAATGTTTTTTGCCAACTAAGATGTTGTAAGAATGCAGCTTCTGGGAGCAGAAATGTTTGCAGCACTAAGCAGTGGATTTTCTTCTTACCTGAATTATAACCAGATATGTTTTTCCATACTGAGAATATATTGGGCAAAGATCCAGGAAAAGATGTCTTTGTATAGAATTTGATAACTGCAACTGCAACCTTTTGTATCTTTTTACAGACTATTAAAAGTGTCAGAAGTTTGGGAAAAATGTAAATTTTAACTTTCTCTGTTACCAAGAAAATTTCCCATGTCAAGTGACATTCAATTCCACTCAAAATCTGAAAGGGTTAGAAAGAATTTTTTTTTTTTTTCATTCTCACACATTTTCTCATTCCAGTTGTTTTTATTTCAGGTATATTAGATGGTGGTCTTTGCTAATGGGACATTAATTCCTTATCAAAGGATGAAAATTGGCCCATCTAATAATTTTGCATCACCTTTCCCTTTTTGTTTTGGGTGGTTTTTTTTTTTTTGAATTAGAACCCATTTTCATTTGTGAAGAACTCCATAGTGATTGCTGGAGCAAGATATTTGATTTTACTTATCAAATTATCATCCCTGTGTGAAATTCTACTGGGGACACAGAGCACCTACGCATACAGAAATCTTTGCAGGAATGGAATGTTTGATAGTGGGATTTTTTCCTCCTATTTTTTCTTAAAAGATTCCATTAACTTTACAAGGAATAGCAGACTTTTTGAATTCAAGTTAGTTATTTCTTGTATCTTATTTTACTTTCTGATAACCATTTCATACCTATACTAATACCAGCATTTTATTAATGTTACATCTTACAGCCTTTCTAGGCGGGTTTTGACCTTACTGGAGTTCCATTCTGATCCCCTGCTACATTCCACCAGAATTAACTCAGCACCAGCTAATTCCTGTTCCATATCATCTTCTATTATTCCATTTATAACTTCAGCCTTCTGACCAATTTCACAGAGTCACAGTAGGGCCTGGTCCCTGCTATAATCTTTTTATATTTCGCTATTCCTGTCCAGAGAGACAGTTTAGTTATGCCCTACTGTGTCCTTCCCAAGGGTACCACATAAAAATTTCATAGGAGTTAATAGATGGAAATGCTCCTCCTTAATATTCCATACAATCATTGTTGATTTTTTTGTTGTTGTAATTTGCAAATATATTTCTGTGGAGGTTTTGGGTGTTTTTTAAGAAACAACATTAGGAGTCCTCTTGTGATGCAAGAGTACAAAAGTGAGCTTTTCAATATAAAAGACAAAAAGAAAGACCAATATACTTGTATTTACCACAGTATTGCATTTTTCAATTTTATAACATACACTATAGTTGTATACATATGGAAACGGTGTGTGTATATTATTAATAAAATACTTTTTCTTCAGGAATAAAATGTCAAAAAGGAGTGTTAATGTAACAGAAACATCATTGGAGTTCACAGACCTAGAATATAACTATGAGTATAGTGCTTACCTAACAGCAAGTACAAGATTTGGAGATGGCAATATAAAAAGTGATACTATAACATTCAGAACTTCTGAAGGAGGTAAGTTTAAATATAGTATGAACCTCTATTTTCATTCAGCCTTATATTTCTCTCAGCCTTGTTTAAGCTAATAAAGCCTATCATCTATAATTGGAGTATAGAGATGTAACTTCATGAAGTTCCATGTCAGCAAATTAGACATCCAAAGCTGTACGTACAGGAAAAATTCTATAAGAAAACACTATCTGTTTAAAAATGCAGCTAAATACAAATGTGTCTGAAAAAGTGTTTTAAAAATTCATTTACATATGCTTTTTTTCCTCATCATGTCCAAAAGCAGTTTTTATACCATAACCAGAAATACATTTAATTTGACATAGGATGCTGTCAAATCTATAGTGGATGTTTCTCAGGCACTAAAATGTACAAAAATCTTGAGGTACAACGCTTTAGGTATGCTAAAACTCAACATTTTTCCAGCACCAAGTGATCCACCGAAAGATGTTGCATACAGAAACCTTACTTCCACATCAATAATGCTATTCTGGTCTCCTCCCCAAAAGCCTAATGGAAATATACTGTACTACTCAGTTTATTTCAAAAATAATTCAGGAATATTCATACAGGTAAGCTTATTTTTATATTCTTCTTTTGTAGAAGTCAATGAAATGTTCTAATAATTCATTAAAGATTAACTCAATTTTTCTAGCTACTAATATATGTTTTTTAATATTTCTTTTATCATAATGTAATTTTTTAACTTATAAAGACAGAAGCGCATCTTGTAATCTTGTTACATTGTGCATCTCATAGAACATTCATCTAATTAAACATTAAAGCCAATACCTTTTTTGTAATATTTTATTATGCAAGATTTACCTATACATGTATGCACACATACATTTAATACATATATCCTCTTAACATATATAATGGATAGACGCAAGACCTATTACAATCATGTCACACCTTATGAGTGTTTATTTTAGTCTAATCTATCAATTTGAATAAATTTCTGTAACAGTTATGGTTTTAGTTTTTAAATAATGTTTGTATAGTCTTAAAAATAAGAAGTTAATGTGAAAGTAGGGAACACATTTTAATTTCATATTTTTCTTACTGTCAAAAGAAAATTACTGTTTAGTAGATTGATTCAAAGATATTGAGATTTTTATGTTAAAGCTTAAAGGACAAAATGTTATAAGTAACATTTTGATGATCCACACATTTCCTTGTAGGATTTTTTGTTCTGTTTACTTTCATTCTTATTTATGCACCACACTTATTAATTGTGTATATAATTTTTCTATTCTCTTTTCTATGAATATATTATGGTACAAAAATATAATAAGAGAAATAAGCTTTCCTTACAGGTTTTTGATCACAAGTTGTACACATATGGAAGCAAGGAAAAAATATAAATTCATTAAGAAACTTATGCATGGAAAATAACCTCTACTGCATAACTTTATGCTCAAGATATGTCCAGGATGAGGTATACATGTATTTCAGAATAACTAGAAGAAATATTCACAAATATTACAAAAACCTGTGACAGAATAATTGCTAACATACTTCAGTGTTTACATTTCTCTGACTTCTGTGAAGCTGTGTGGTTGTCAGGCTCTGCATAGTTTCATATGCAAGCAAGATTGTGCCATGAATTCATATTCTGGTATTAAAATCGGGGCTACAGTTCAGATGGCAGACTGTTTGCACAAACTGTGATAGCAACAGCATTTTTTTTAAAAAATCCTTGGAGAAACCTTTATATCAGTGCATTACATGAAGTAGCCTATCCTATGAAGAACGTCCGCATTTATCTAATTCTTAGAAATCTCAGGAGATTTTAGAGGACCACTATGGACTTGGACTAGTCTTGCCTTTAGGAAGGTGGAAATCTGAGGTGAATGAGTAAGGTGAAACTGATACACTGAGAGCTAAAATCCCTCTGGATGGGCCCAAGACTCTGGAAATAAAGGAGGAAGATAGGGAAGATGAAGTAGAATAGTGTTGGCCCAGCCAGGTGAGGGTCCAGTTTCATTATCGTGTGATGTAGTTGGGCAGGGAAAAATGGAGGCACAAGTGGAAATTACCACTGCTCTGGCATACTGTGTAGTGGATGGCAGAAAAGTGCTGACAGTAGCTCTACTTCTGTGTGTGGAAACTACCTTTTTCATCCTTTTAACTTTGATTTTTTATCCTATCCCTCTGCCACCAGAAGATAGGTTTCAGCTGCTGTTGCATCTGTCTCTTACTGCCCATGGAATATGACCATAAATCTCTCAAATCATGATTGAATTTTAATCTGTCTGCTTCCCTTAACTTTTACCCTTCACATCCTGTCTGTTCACTGTTTACACACGACAACTACCATATCTACATTGCAGTTCTATCCTATACCTTGGAATTCCTGTGGATGCAGGACGGATTTCAAACAGATGAAAAGAGGCAACTCATTTCTGTCAGATATTTTATATTTCTCTTTTTACAACAGAAAAATGCATGTGTGAATGTCAGTCTGATGTGTGAATATATGTCATATATATATGACATATACAGACAGTTGTAAACTACATAAGTGTATGCAAACATGCAGCTTATGACCATCTGGAACTTAGAAATATAACCATGTATTTGTGAGTCTGTTGCTAAGTTTTTTATTGCACACATTTGGAAAGAAATAATCATCAGTTAGAACACTCTACATCGAGGTCACCATTCTGCTTTTGTTTATCCAAACTGTATTTTCAGTTTTAGAAATTATCTATGACAATTGAAAAAGGAGATGATCTTTTCATATTTCAGGGAACCCAGATTTCTCAGATGTGTGGTTGAAGGCAGCCAAACACTACCAGTCTTTAATCTGCTTCTTTGTCAGGAAATAATGTCAGGGGGCCAAGTCTTAAACCATATCTTCTAGATGCCTGAAAAACCACCCTTGTTGAAGAATATCAAGAAAATTAACATATACCAATGCTGGCATAATCTGAAGTAGCCACAAAAGTCATACCAAAACTGGTCTTATTCTGTTGTCTCAATTTCTCCCTTATCACACGTTCTCAAACTCCTCAGGAACATTAAAACCTAATTAATAAAAAACACAGAGTGTTAATATGATAAAACCAGGAAGTTAGTAGCTGCAGAGTGAAGCATTTTGTTTAGGGGAAAACCCCCACAAACATAGCAAAATACCTGAGATTAAAAATGTGGTTTTCTCCCTGACATTATGCAGAAACTTGCAGGAAAACCAGTTTTTCTTTAAATAAGAAAATGTTATATACCTTCATAGGTCAAAAGAATAATGTATAGTTTCTTTGCTCTATAGGTCTACATGAAAAATCACACTGCAGCTGCCCAGCCAGAAGGCTGGGGATGCTCAGACCTAGCTTCAGAACCAGAACAGCAGAAGGAAATATTTAGTGATGGAGATTGGATTTGAGGATTTTGGTAGATGAGTGGGCTGTTTCTATGGGGATTCTGGTAGGTTGTAAAAGAAAATGTGTCAGAGAGGGAGGAATGACTGCTAGCCAAGTAGAAGAAACCATTATATACACAGGGCTAGGTTCAAGTTCAGGTTTATCTTTTATCTTCTGCTGACATAGGTCTAGGGAAAATGCTACCTTTTGGTATATGTTTGCTGTTGTGTTCCAGTGCAGTAAAGATATAGCATGTATGCTGACAAAGAACACTTCATACGCAGATGACATGACACTGTACCTTTTTCTTCACATCACTTCTCTGTGACACTGCTTTCACTGTTTGCAATAGCAGCTTTGCACGTTTTGCTCCACAATGCCTTGCCTGGTGCTTGAAGCAATCATACTGCCCACATTCTCAGTCTTATTGAGGAAAAAAGTCAAAAAATCTATGGAAGTAATTATCTTATAGCTGAATACTGATCTATGAAAGATATCCTTGACTTGAATAAACTCTTATTCAATTTCTATGTACTTGTGTTTTGATTAGCAAGAAAGTGGGAAAGGTGCTAATTATGAATATAAAATTATGCTTGGGTAAAGTTCCCCAGTGTAGGAATTTCAGTACAGATGACAATTGTCCTACTCTGCCAGGGGAACCAGGAGCTAAGTACTGAAAAAATTTACAACCCTTTCAAGCAACTGAACATCAAAACCCAAATCATCCAATGTCTGCTTCAAGCCAATTGAAGTGACCATGACTGGATACAGTTCAGAGTGAAATTCAACTTGGATTACCCTTGGGATGCAGAAAAAGGGATGCAAACAATGTGCTATATTAACAATCAAACATTTTCTTTCACCAGTATGACCACAGAAGGGATAAAAAGGGGAACTTCCCAAAAATACACTGCAAATACATGGCCTCAGAATGGTACAGCACACAAAAAGGAAATATCTTCGCTTAGGTTGCTACTGCAACAATGTGCATTATGCTCCTTGAAGGATGGCTTGGATTAGCCCTCACAGTGTCACCACTCTCATCTGATTGCCAGAGTCCAGTATGTGATCCTCTGACTCAAAACAAGAGTCAGATGAACCTAAAAAAAAGCAGAATAGGGGAAAAAGGTTAACAGTGAAGAACAGCAGCACTGCATTTTCTGTGTGCAACTAATTACAGTTTTATGCCACTGGAAATATCTGCTGCTTCCTGAAGAATATACTGCATTCTGCTGACACTTTCATGGCCCGTGTGTATTGCTTACACTTAGCTGCTTTTAATAATCTGATACTTTGCTATGTCAAAACTTCTTTCATGTATGGATGAAGAAAGGCACTGAAGGAAGAATTTCTTCAGCTGTAGCCAAAGATCCTAAGCTGTTTGCTTTCATCTGGAGCCACAGTTAATTGTAAAACTTCCTATAGTGTTCTATCCCCAGGGTACAATTAGTACAAGTTTTGTCTTTTCTCAGTTTGTACCCACACAGTTCTTCCTGCTCACTGTTACTCCTAATTATGTGTTCCTTTTTTTTTTCTAATATTTTGTCATATCAGAAGTTTGAGATAATCCCTGTTCCTTGGGCTCTTCATAGTAAAGGAACTCCCTCCTAAAATAGTTTTTGTTGAACCAACAAAACCCTGTTGTTATAATGTTCACATTGGTTCACTAAGTCCTTAACTGCCAGACAGCTGGCTAAATTGTAAAGGTATGCTTTTTAAACTAAGAGTTGAATTTTCAGCTGTTCATACCAATAAACTCCCATTAAATCTAGAATCAAAACTTGATGTAGTACCCTTGACATTTTTACCTTGAAAACTCAGATAATTATGTAAGGTCTTATTAAAAAAAATCTGATTGTTAGATATTGTTATTATAAATTATTAATCATTTTTCATTACAATATCTAATAATAATAACAACAGGATGGTATTAGAATGCTTCTTCTGGGCTAGATGATATTTTCTGTCATATTGTGCTTAAGCATCAGAAAGTCTAATTAAATACCTTAGAATTCTATTTTCTGTTTCCCGTATCTTAAGCTATGCAAGTGCAATGCAAAGCTCTTCACAGCCTTTTCAGTTAGTTATGAAGACAGTGTGAGATTCAAACTACTTTTAGAAGAAAATCATATATTAAGGTGGAATGTTTTTGTATTTTGACTGATATTGACTTAGCCTAATCTTTCAGACAAAACTAATGGTGTGCTTTAAGTCAGTTAATAAGAGTGGATATAGAAACTTATACCACCGATTCATGCAGCTTCTGTTCTGCATTCTAAACAAAGGTTTAAATTTTCATTGCCAAACAAACTATTTACTTATTTATATTACCTAAGTACTGGTGACTGAGGGAAAACTAGGTCTTCAGATATTAGCATAAAAATCACTGAATGAGAGTGTGACTTCTTGTTTTCTGCAAAAATAAAATGATCTTGTCTGTACAAAAAATTGGCGAAGTATTGCATTAGATATATAATTGATATGTATTGGTGACAGAGATCAAAACTGGATACTGGACTATCAATTTGCACAGTACTGACTCAACTGTGTGGTAGAGCATATTACAGTGACTTCTTCAGTAGAAACTTTCCTCATGAGAAATATAACCCATTTTTTAGTATGCAGTTTCAGCATTCCTCTGTTTTTATGTGATGTTTCTGAATTTTAATACTCAAACATTACTGTTGCATTTTTCTGCTTTAGTAAGTCTTCTCTCATAGCCTCTCTCTTTTAGAAAAGAATTTAGTTGAAAGCTAGCTTTGATTTTAAAGAGGTGGGGTGTGTGGATAAGATCTAACACCAAAAATAGGAAGCAGGCCAAATAACTGGAACGTGTACTAGTCAATTCATCAGGGCATTGGGTGAAATCCAGTATGCCCTGAAAATATTGCTATGTAGAAAAATTAGGACTTTGGTCCTGAGGAGTGCTGCCCATGCCATCTGCTCGATGGGGCAATGTGGCTGCCACAGAGGAATAATACTGACATTCTCAATCAGGAGCAAAAATTTGACTTCTTGCACAATGCTGGAGCTGAATATGCTCATGGGCTACATAACCTCTCAACAATTTTCAAACCATGAACCAAATTGTGTTGGATCATCTAAATTAGATTCCCATAATGAGGTGGGTGATTCAACATGTGGTAAAGCTGACCTTACATAATCTGATTTATATTTTTTCTTTTCATTTTCCCAAAGAGTTGATTCTAAACAGGAATAGCTTCCTTGGAGGGGCTGATCTAAAGCACTAACCTGCTGATACAGCCACAATTTAGTGATATTTTGATATTGTGCAAAGGAAAATGGAATTAGATTCTGGTGCAATCCTTTCATTAGCAAGTAACTGAACAAAGAAAAAATTTCTGTTGATGTCTTGAGTTTAACATGGTCCACTGGGTATAGACATTTGCATTAGAGATAACAGCATGTTTTTATTGGAAGGGACAACTAACAAAAGGAACAGTTTATGAAGTGGTGCAGTAACATCTCTGCTGCTGGAAGTTTTAAATTCAAAATCTATCTATTCTCATAAAAATAGAATAAAGTGAGAGAAGTCTTTTGATTTGCTTCATGATGATCAGGCAAGGCAGTAACATGTATGATCATTTAATCTATGAGCAATTAGTGGATGGTACATTCTTGATGCAATATGGATAAACACATTGTAATATTACAGATTTAATCTGTGAATTGGCATTCAACAACTACAAAGAATAGGGGGAGTCATTACATACTCTATGTACTTACAAGGAGTAACAATAGGAGTCAAAGTGTAGGTTTATGTCTCCTGAAAGCTATGGTAAATCATATCTGGTGGTGGTGATGGTGACAGCTAAATGGGGAACTAGAAAGAGAAATCAATGAATAAATAACATTTTCAATGGCAATTAATAAACAACATTTTTAATGGCAACATTATCCTTTTTTTTTCCCTTTAGAATTTCACAGCTTATGGTAATGACAGCAACATCAGTATGCCCCCGTTTGTAGTTCTGGATGACTTGGCAAAATACAGCCATTATATTTTATGGTTAACTGCAAGTACAGCTTTTGGAGATGGAAACAAAACCAGTGAAAAAATAGATGTGTATACAGATCAGGATAGTAAGTTAATAACTTTTTTAACACTCAGTGTATATCAGTGCTTACATTTATTAAGCATTCTCTAACTTGAAAATTATTTTACTGTTATGATGCCAATGTAAAAAAACCCAAACAGAACAGTAAGTGTGGTTTTCAATGCTGCAGTATTTTTTTTTCAAGGAAGGCGTTTTGATCTGAGTCTTTACTTTGTAATACTAAGAATGTAGTTCACAAGCAATAAAAATATTGTCTTAAACAATCATTAAGAAATTTTTCTTAAAAAAATTAACATAAACGATTATTCATATATGCCTCCAAAGTATTTTATTTTTGATATTGAAACATAAGTTATTTTTATAAGTTGTAAAAAATATGACAAGTGACGTGACATTTTCAGACTAATCATATTTCGAAGAGTGATTTCTGATTTGGGTTTGGATGTTTCATTACTGTAATCCATGCATTTCATTTTTTGTGTATTATCTCTCATAGTCCCAGAAGGTTTTGTTGAAAATCTGGTCTATCAAAACATTTCCTCATCTTCTGTGAATGTAAGCTGGCTTCCACCATCCCAGCCAAATGGCTTAGTCTTCTTTCATGTTTCTCTAAGTTTAATGCAACTGGGAACCAGCAAGGTTTTGTCTTTCCTTACTTACAACACAAGCATAATGTTTGACAATCTGGAGAAATATACCGATTACATTCTGAAAATCACACCAGCCACTGATAAAGGATCTTCTGAACAGCATGCTCTAAGTCTGCATATAAGAACTGATGAAGATGGTAAGATAAAGATATTTTATTCATTTCTACGGAAATGTAGTAAAAAACTCAAACAATTTTCTAAAAGGAAACAAAAATATTGTTTATTTTTTTAATATTAACTTGAAGCTTTTTGGGTATACAATGACACAAATGACTGCTACACATTTCTATTTTGACACCATGAAACAGAGTTTTTCATTGTAAGTTATATTTTCCTGACATTATCCCTATTTTTCTCTTTCTTATTTCTTCACGTAGTCCCAGAATCAGCACCTATAATCAAAACATTTTCAAATCTCTCAACTACCTCAGTTATGTTTTCATGGGACCCCCCTGTTAAGCCAAATGGTATCATAATAAGTTATGATTTAAATTTATTTGGACCAGAAAGGAATAACTCATTCTCTACCATCAATAATTTTATCATCTTGGAAGACCTTCTGCCATTCACATTGTATAGCATTTATGCAGCTGCAAGAACAATAAAAGGACCTGGTCCATCTGCTGTGCTTCAGTTTTACACAGATGAGTCAGGTGAGCAAATTCAGTTGTAACCAACTTTGAAATATCAGCTCTACGTTACTGCATCCATCTTAGGTCTGAACACCAGACCTGTTGAGATGAAGGATTAATTTTCCATTGGTCTGTGAGTTAAGAGCTTTCAGAAGAAGAAAACACTGCAAGGGAAGTGTTTTCTGAGTGCTCTTTCTCCTGCCACAGTGTGCAAGAGGAGGTCACATTTTGCATGGGATTACAAAAATAACTCCAAAGAGAAATATATTCTGTTTTTGGAATGTGTTATAGTTTGCCAAGTCTCAGGGATTTTGAAGCAAACAACAGTACTTTTCTCTTCATCCCCCTATAGAACTGAAAAATGATAAAACATGGAAATATTTCTGACACATTCACACGGGTCTCCTATGTATTGATCTCCCCTCCTCTGCATGGTAAATTACATATTCTGTAAATATATGTTGAGTTGTGCTCAATATATGATGTAGGAAGCAAAGTATATCACATTCCAGTAACATATGTAATATGACTTGCTAAATGTCTTAGATCTGGCAGTGGGGATGTTTAAATGATTAATATATTTTTTTAGATCTCTAAGATCCCTTGCTGAGTATGATTATATTCTACATTAATGGAATTTGTTGCATGTCAAAGAAAAAGGAAAAGATTGAAATAGCAATTAAGTAGTTAGCTTGAGTTCGTATAAAAATGTTAACAAAAATATCTATTTTCTCCTGCATCTCTAAACTGTTTTGTTTTGCCTGGATTGTTTTGTCATTTGGAAGTCAAAAGCATTTCTCTTTTGTAGTGCCATTAGCTCCACCCCAGAATTTGACCATTATCAACTATACTGCAGATTCCGTGTGGCTAAAATGGGATCCAAGTCCCCAGTCAAATGGTGTTATTATGAGATATAATTTTAAGATTTATCAAAACAACACAGAAAAACTAATTTATCAGGTATGTTTATAATAAAGTGTTTAATTTTTTAAAATATTTATTTTGTGCTTTAGGAACAAAATATATGACAAATATTTTAAATGTCTGTTATGCTCCTAGAATTATGAAGCTCCTCTGAATTCCTATTTACTAAGACAGTTTACTTACCCTACCACCATAACTGTAATTCAGTTTTTAAAATTAGATAGAAAAAAATTGTTAGATTTTAATTTACTTTGAACTTCTAATGTTTCATTAATGATGAGATTTGTTAATATTTAGTTCATATTCCAGTGTAAGCTTGATGTTAGAAAATTACAGAAGTTACTTGTTTTGTGGCTATCTTTGTTTAGCTATTTAGTATCTATGGACTGTCAAGATTCAAAAAGACAGATAGTCATCTTGAAAAATAGTTAAAAACTGTTTAGAGGTTTGCAAATTTTTTTAATTTTTGCGGAATAGGAATACTGAATAAATTTTAACTGAAATGGTTACTATATGAATGTTCAGGGCTAAGTTGAATGAAGCTCTGATTAATCTGGTCTAGTGGAAGGTTTCCTGCTCACAGCACTGAGTTTGGAACTGAATGGTCTTTAAGGTCCCTTCCAACCATTCTATGACTCTATGATTTTATGATATACAAAATTTGATCAAGGCATTTCTATCTGCTTAAATCTGGGCGGCATCATGACATGTGCCGTGAACTGCAAAGGCAGCAAGCTAAGGTCAGGATCACATCTCAAGCAGAGAAACTATATAGTGAGTCCAGTTCACCCTAGGTGCTTGTAAAAGCTGCAGGGAAAAGATATTACTGCAGTGAGATAGGAGTTTAAGACACGCAGTTTAAGGTACATGTGTGACTATGAAGAGCTTTATTACTCCAACTCCCTCACCAATACAGTTCTTATTACAGAGACTTAGCATGCAAGGAAACTGTGTGTGCTGTTAAGTGTATGCGCTGGAAATCAGTCCCCATGGAGCGGCCTACTTGGCTACCCCTTATGAGGTCTGCTGTTATTCCCCACTGTGGAATGAAGTGCTGGCATCACCCCAGTTCCTTCTATAATACTTGAAAGAGCACAATGAACCTATGAGAGAGGAACTGTGAATTCTACAGCCAGCTACCTTCGGAAACACATTCTCTGGGTGTTCAAAGAGACCACTAAAGATTATTCTCCACTGTCCATGTGAGGCAGTCTCAAATCCAATTAGAATACAAAAACTGTCTGGAGCACTTGAATGCATCTGCTTTGCCCTACATTCCTTCATGTTTTGTAATGTTATGTGGGCAAGAAATTAGATCTAGGTTGTGGCAGCAGGACAAGCAGAGCAATTTTTATAGAAATACTGTATTTAGACACCATAATTCTCTGATAACTTGGATTCCACAAGATTTTCTTGCTGAAATTCAGCTCTTTCACTGCTGTTATTATAGTTCTCTCAATATTTGAATAAAATATGCCTTGCATGCTCTGGGAAAAACAGCTAAAAGGAATTGAACTGTGTTTTTAAACTTTTTTTTTGCTTTTGGTTTGTTTTTTGGTTTTTTTTGCTTTTTTGGTTTTGGTTTGGTTGGTTGGTTGGTTGGTTTTGGTTTGGTTTGGTTTGGTTTTTTGAAGCACTTCGTCAATCTGTGTATCTAGTTCAGGTAAAGTAAAAGAAATAGGAAGCTATGACTCATGACATCTTCTACTGCAGAGGTGTAGCAAGGAAGTAGAAGGTGAGAGGGATTGATGAAGTGGTGTGGAAGTAACAAAAGTTTTCAGTATTTGACTGAAATCTCCTCAGAGTAGAAGAGGCAAAACTATGGCTGTAAATCTTCTGTTCATTTCATTGGGTTCAAGCTGAGGCCCACAATGTGTCTAGAGGTTAATTGTGTACTAGTAATTTTTCCTTCCTTAAGAACATTTCAGGTTCAAACCACGAGGCAAACCTTGTTGGATTAGAACCATTCAGCCCCTATTCTATCAGTGTCTCTGCATTTACCAAGCTTGGGAATGGCAATCAGTTCAGTAATGCTGTCCAGTTCACAACGATGGAATCAGGTTAGATACGACTTTTTTTAAGCTGCAGTTCTGTTTATATATATTTATGTATATTTTCCTTGTATGGCTGAACAACAGTGTTCATCTTGTCTCCAAAGAAAATGTAACATAACACTATCTCATTGCCTTCTGCCTGTGTAACACCTATTCACATTCTTATTGTAGGCTGGGTTTGAAGTTTGATGTCGGAAGTGTAGAATTAGAAATGTCCTCATCTGAAATGAGAGGCTTATATGGTTACTATAAATATTTTAATAGCATCACAGATAAAGGGAGGAAAATTAGAAAGATATCAGTCATTGCAGATCAAAGCAATAATTCAGATCCCTGTGAAAATAACTGAAATGCTAGCAGTATCAAAAGCAACTGGTCAAAATATTGGCAAATGAACATTAAACAAACAGAAATTTTTAACATTTTTAAAATAATTTAATTTAGGAAGGAAACTAGCCACTAAAAGTGAAATACTCAATATTCACTAAAGAAGAGCCCATGAGAATGGTGGGTTTGTGAAACTGGCCATTGCGCAAAGCTGTAGCTCCTTTGCCAGGTCAGAGCAATCTCTGGGCTCCTGTGCTTTATAAGGGCTGTCAGTGCCAGGGAACCGGCATGGCTCAGGGGACTCTCAGCTTTCTTTATACTGTCAGCAAAGGGAGCAGACAAAGTATCGAAAGATGCCATATTACTATAGTTTCTCCAAGATCACATTTCCAGTGAAAGATTCCTGCTGGAACTGGTAAAACAGAGTTTCGGGGGAAAATTATGCTGTTTATTATACCCAGGAGTTACCCACCATCAGAAATCTGGACCATCACTAAACTGGTTCAGTTTGGCAGTTGGATCTCTGCAACTGAAGGCTGTTCTGCTATAAGGCCATGGTCATCATTCAGTTGTCTCATTTCACCACAAACATTCCATACTCATGGTACTTTCTTTGGAAGTGCTGGAGAGACATTTCTCTCAGGAGCATGATCTAGTAATATTATAGCTTTTTCTCAGACTTTATGCTTAGGTAGTTGCAGCATGTTTCCTTTCCCTCCAACCTAGATTTTGGGCAATTGCTGGATCAGTTCCTCACTGAGTTCCTCTAAGGATTCTGTCCCTGTCTTTATTAAAAGTGCCAGTTAATCTTCTTTATTCTGCAGATGTTGCTTCTTAAAAAGAAATTTTTTCTTTAAATTCTGAAAAGAAAATTAATCTTTTTAAAGAGATTAATTTACCTCTGTATAGTGATAATGAATATGTTTACCTCTATTTTAACTGCCTCACTGACAATCTTTTTACTATTTTATAGATTCCTCAACCTGTTTCAATAGAAGAAGTAGGTTGGGCCACCCCTCACTGTGTATTTGTTTTCTCTTATATGGTACAGCCAGTAATTTAACCCTTTCAGAAATACTTTAATTCATTTTTCTCTTTAACCAATTGTTCACATATAATTGCTCTATTTTCAACATGATTATAATATTTGCTACAATTCATTAATTTTTTATAAGCATTTAAAAAAATTTCTCCTGCCAGAACCAGCAAATAGATTGGGAACTGTAAGACAATAGCATTGATATGACAGCTCTGAAACCTGCCTCATGACTTCTGTGCAGGTTGTACCTCTGCTGGAAGGACAGAGAGGAATGATAAAGTGCCTAAAAGAAACAGAGCAAACATATAAATAAGGAACTTCTGCTGTTGATGCTGTTGTGGAGTATGTATATGGATTTCACACTACTGTGTATGTTTTACTACACTTTGTTTAAAAAAAGATGTGGAGAATATGAGCAGATGTGAAAACAAAATTGGATCACACAACCAGGGAAAAGCCAGATAGATGGCTTCTTCTATTTCAAGTACAATCATCTCTCACATTCATAGCAGTTGGAAATGAACCATTTAATGGGGACAAAGACATATTTTTGTTCTCTCAATATGTTTCTTTTATTAATTCGTCTGACACTGCAATGTTTGACTGTTCCTATGAACATTGGATCTGCTTCTCTAATGATATTATTCTGTGATTCCTGCTTTAATTGTGTATGAATGTTAATCTTTGGTGCATGTGTATCTTTTAAGTACCAGATGCTGTCCAGAATGTTCGTTGTATTGCAATGAGCTGGCAATCAATCCTGGTGCAGTGGGACCCTCCTGCTTCATCCAATGGTGTAATTACGCATTACATCATAACAGTTGAAGGAAATTCTACAAATTTTTCATCTTATGATACACTGCATACTTTTAGAAATCTGCTTTCCAATATTACTTATCAAATTAAAATAAAAGCTGCAACGTCTGCTGGTGATGGTGAAGAACAGATATGCAATACCAGTACCCTTCCAGAAAAAGGTAAAAGTTTATTCAAGTTAATTTTCTTGCTCAGTTGAAAAAATTACAATGAAACAAGCAGACCTGAAATAACTGTTTCAATACAGGCAAATAAATCCTTCTGTTATTTAAATTTCTTGCTAATAGTGAATGAAGAGAAACAGGATTTCCCCTTTCTCCTGTTTTAGAATAAACTTGGTGATGAGAATTAATTACCATTTTAAAAAGCACTTTATTCTGTGTGAGCTTGAAGAGTTATTTTATTAATTTATGATCACGTATTTTTTTTCTTATAATATCTGCCTTTAGCATATTTGAGACTGAAAGTCTGAAAAAATTTTTGAGAGCAAAATTTGTATTTTGCTTTTACTAGCTGCTAGTGCTGTGACTTCATTGACAAAAAAGCTGTTCAAAATTAGTGCAATTGAGAAGAATTTAGGTTCTACAAGCAGACTTTGTCATTACTCTTGATGGATGGAATTTTTTAAACAAGAAAGAAAATTGTGAGTTAAATCCAAAGAAGAATGTAGGCAGGCTTTTTGGCATTGAAGTGAAAAATTGTTACCCAAAATCTATCTTCCTTTCCACACACACACTTCACACTTCACCTAATCTTGGCCATGCTTTCATTTGACATGGGGATGAATTTCTGGTCAAAATACAGTGTTAGTTCTGTGTAAATAGCTATGTACCTACCTTTCAAATTAGCTAGGAGCCCAACTCTAAATGCAGGAAGCAAAGGCCTGTTTCAGCTCTCTTCCCCAGTCAGGGGTGATTTCTACTCTTGGGACTATTTATCTTTTTTTTTTTCTTTGGTGATAGTTTAATATAAATATAAAAAGTTATGTTCTGCGAGCAAGATCCAGAAAAGACTTCACCTTTCTACTGAATTACAGGAGCAATTACTGCATTTAGTTTCTTTTCCTATATTCTCTTCAGTGATGTCAATTTATGCAGTGGAGTTGAGGAGGTCTCTAGTTCAGAACATCTGGATAAGGAAACAGGGGATGGGATGGGGGAGCACAACTTTACCTCCTGATGCTTAGAAACCAAACCTAGCTTTTGTAATAATTTAATTACTAAGTTATTGAATAATTTAAAAGATGAGTTGCAATGAGTTGCAGCACTCATTCTCATATGTATTTCAACTGAAAGAGTAAGTTTTCTCAAACTTAGTCAAATACTAAATACAGATTCTGTGTCAGCAAAAAGGTTTATGCTCTGAATGACAAGTGGAGGGAAGTAGCTCTGCTACGCAAACTTGAATCAGACATCTGAACTTGGAGAAGATCAGACTTACCCTTATGCTTAGACTTCTTGTTGGTAACTTTCTGAGTGGTATGCACCTCCTTTGGATCCATCCTATTCATAAAGTCTTGGTGTCCCATTATGAGGTTTGATTTCCACACTTCTTAAAATTAGACTTATGGATGTGCATGTCTGGATGAATCTATATCACGTCTGTGTTGTCAGCTGAACTACTGCTGCTTTGGTTCCAGATCAAGTGGCTGAGCTCCAAATGAGGACAAGCAGGGCAGCCTCTTGCTAGTGTGATGTGGCCAACACTGTGGAAATAGCCAGGGTTGTACTTTGATGGCTGCCTGTCCTCATGGTACAGTCCGTCCCACTACAGCCTCACCATGTCCCTTATTTGAACTATGAGGTGTCACTCATACCTATTTCTAATGAAATTGTTCACTCTAAATTGGTTTCCTCATCAGCATCTTCCCTACAAATGCTGCCATTTTGTGATCCCTGCTGGTATCCTTCTGTCCAGCTCCTTGTCAATTTAAGACTTCCGCCTGGGTAGTCTATTCTCTTGTTTGCTCAGAAACTTCTGTTTATCAGCAGCATTCAAAGTCCACTTTTGAAAAGGTATTGTTTAAATATTAGACATGAGCATACTAATATCTGACAGTTGGCTGGAAGTAATTTAGTGAACCTAGCTGCTGTGCTGGATGTGGATGCATGTGCTAATGCACTTCAGTACACTTCTTAAATGCAGTCATAACTCTCAAACCTTTCTTTTAAATTAGGGCTACTGAACAGCCAACTCAGAGCCTGAGCAAGACTGAATCTGGGAATGGTGTTCAGACTTGGAGTTAGTCTTATAGGAGGGTTGTTACCCTCTGGTAGGGAGGAGAACAGGAGACTTCCCTGGTGGTTTATATCTCGGAGGATGAGGGAAAGGCTTCTAGTAGTGTTAAAGAAACCTGGCACCTAAGAAAGTTAATTGTTGAGATTTCTGCAAAATTGGGTGTTGGCTGCTAATTAGTGCTTGAGGAAAGACTGAGAAAGCTGTGGATTAAGCCTAGGCTTGAGAGGGAGACTGGCAGTCTCTTGTGGTCTGTGTTATAAAGAGCTGTACTAGAAGGGGAAAAAAAAAACAAAACCCACCAGTCTTTAGTTTGTAGCAACATGTGTCTTATGTGTTTTATCACTGGGAGTTTTCCCAAGTGAAGGATTTATGCTACAAAACATGTAATTTTTGTCACATATGCTGCACAGACCCTTTCTTGCTTTGTTGTTGCTTAGTCATATTTACAACAAACTAGTTATTATTAGGACATTTCCTTAACTGCGTGTTTGCATGAATTGTTTTGTGGTGACTGGATACTAGGAATTGGAAACTCATGGATGGGAATGGAAACAGTTTAGTAGCTGTTGTCAGCTTCTTATTTATGGTGGCCTAAGATTAGTCACAGAATATGTAGCCAGAACTGAGTCACTGTCAATGCATTTGTTTCTGACATAAAGTGAAATCGAATTTGGCTCAGTGTCCCACTGCCTAGTGTTTGATCTTTAAATTCTTAGCAAGATTATTTGCCTTTTTTTGAGGTAAATTTGTTCATATCTGGGTACAATTAAACATGAATCATGAAGATTAAATTTATGAGGAGATTAGTAGTGTTTTGTGCTCAGTCAAGTTCCATTGTCATGGTATACCACCTCTGCCAGGCCGCATGATGTTATAAAAACTGTCAGCTTTGTAGTGGTAGTATTAATTTGTGATTAAATACATTATAAAGGATTAAATACATTATAAAGGATATGAAAGATAATATAGTATACATACACATGCATAATTGAGTTAGGATTTTATGACTGAATAGCTATCCTTGGATTATTTTCAAGATAATGCACATATTAAAATGCAATTTTTTTAAGGTTGAGTGAATTTTTAGGGGGAGAAAGAGCCATAAAGTGGTAGGAAACTTCTCCAAAAGGAACACTAAAGCTGTGAAGATTCAGTTAACTCACAAGTCTGGGACATTCAGTTGACAATAAAAATAGAATAATTAAAAAGCCACTTGAGTGTGTTCAAAGTATGAATAATATAAACAAAACTGCTTCTACTTCGATTTTTTTAATTTAGATTTTTCTTTATAGGCTTTTCATTATTCTCTGAGGATATTAATTGTATTGATTATAGTATTAAGACACACAGACTAATTCTCCCCTCCCCCCATCCCTTACTGCTAGTAATATTTAGTATTATAACTGACCACAAAGTCTTGGAAGTTGAGGCTCCCATTGTACTCTAGTGACAGTTCTTACCATTTGTTTTCTACTAAACAGAGATTCATTCATAGCTTACATTTAAAAGAAATATGGAGAGAAATCTGTCCAGGAAACATTTTTAAATTTAGTCTGGGCTTAATTTTGCTTGCCAATACTAACTTGTAGCTATATACAGAAGTATGCCTTGTGCAAGAAGGAGAGTTGTGCCTAAAAGAATTGGTAATGGGAAGGTTTCTTAGGTCTTTTGGTGTGAAGGTGGGAAATTAACACCATCTTTTGTTATGTGCGCACAAAATGTCTTTACTTTCTGCACAAGGGAAACTTTGAAGATTCTGGGTTTGTATCTCCAGTATGGAGATGTGGGATTTTTTTCATCAAGGCCTGCAAGGAGCACAAAACATAGTAGGGGCTTAAAGCCTTCTGGATATCCAAGGAAATGCTGTTTCCTTCACCATAAATCCTTTTCTTAGTATATGGCAGCTCATGACATCTCTCAGTTGGAGTTACATGAATTTCCTCATTAGCCAGTGAAGAAAAGGATGTACTGGAATAATATTTAAACCTGTACCCTAAAGTGGTTCTTAGGGCTTCAAGCATGATGTGCAGTGCAGTATGTTGGCCTGGTTATCCTGAGGAATGAGCCTACTGCAGAGCCACAGTATTGGAAATGGCAGAGCTTCGGTGTCCCCTGTCACTAATGCAGATTAGAGCAGTGTGTTTCACATGTTCAATCAGTGCTGAAAAGTCATGTTTCCAAACATATTATAAAGTAAAATAATCAAAACATTGCAGAGTGAATCATGACTAAGAATCTTTGACACATTTCTTTCCAAGATCACTGATTTTTTTCCCCCTACTCAGTTTTCTTTATGTAATGTGGATTTTTTTAATGTTTTCTGATTAGTTTTTTTGTCCAAATTTAAATTAATGACTTTCATGCGGATGGCAAATCTTCACTAGACAAATGCAATGATCACTCAGTTGCTGCCAGTGAAATTGTAATGATGTTATTTTTATAAGCAGGTTGACAAAATTAGATGAAAGAGTATTTTTGTGGGGACTAGGGCAACCATACATAAATATATAAGAAATGGCGGTGGCATATAATGCAAAGTTAACACAGAAAGCATTTACAGGTCAAATACATTGTTTACTGGAAAGTAGGCTGTGGTTTAGTTTGATGGAAAGCTGAACATTCTTATTTAATTCAAGACTTGAGTACGGACAGTTTTCACTTCTCTTTTTAGCTTAAAGGAGTGCATTTCTCCCTAGATTTGTAGGATTTGATTTGTCAGTGCTTAGATCCCACAGTTAGAGACTGAGTTTTCTAATGGGCTAAGGTCTAAGAAATATGGTCCACAGAGGCTCTTTTACGAGCAATTGTGCAAGTTTCTCTAAAGCATGTCTGATAATGTCAGTTCTGAGTCATGGGAAAAATAGTCTACAGTTTTTTTGTATTTTTATGTTAGTAAGATAATTTGGGGCCTATTCATGATGTA